AGACTCACTAAGTGATCAAAGAGAAATGCTCTCAGGATTCAGACAAAGGGCTATTTATCATGAGGTGTATACACACAAGTGGTGTGAGCATTTATCTTACAGTTACACTGTCACTGTTAAAAATGACCAAAAGATCAAAGAATGACTGAAGGCTGTTATTGGCTCAAGGAGTTCAGACTAGGTACGTGCTTTAAGGCAGGATTTAAAATGGCAACATTTCAGGGGTCTTGCATCTTATGGAAAAAGACAAATTCTTTAAAAAAAAACTGAACTCCTGTCTCAGCAGTCCTTTAACCACCATTTCAACACTACAGTCTCTAAATGTCACAAACTAAACTTCCGGAAATGGGTGACTTCCTCCGGATCGTCTCAAATGCATGGCTTGTTCTTGTGAGCTGCACTGCCAGACACAACAGGATCACATGGACACATGTGGAGCTTTTGTGGTTGTTCTTTCTTATTACTCTAGGTTTAGAAGTTTAGGCTCAGGTAGCAGGACATTCTTAAAAGCCATAGGCATATCTTTGTTACTGCTCAATAACAACAGCAGTAATAATAACAGAAAAACAATGCTATGTAGTTCAATTAAGTACATTTTAATCATATTTTTAACCACAATCCACACAACTATAGATTTTGGATACAATGTTATGTCCTGCACATGGGCCAGAATAATTTCCTTTTTTCTTCCTAAATCCACGAAAGCAAGTTCACCAGATATGAGCATATTTTTTGTTAATAATTGAAACATAATAAACCCCAAACAAAGAGCATAACTAATATGTTTGCTTGTAGATGCGTTATTAAACAAAAGGAGCATCTCACATATTAAAGAATTAAACAACACTAACTTCAATGCTTAGCAATGTGGATTTCACAATTCAAACTATGGAGCACTAAAAATATCATGCAACATGATGAGATGTTGGCTGCAGGCAGAACAAAAAAAGAAATCGTATGGTAACTAAATAATTTACACAATGCTGCAACTGATGGTACTGGTTGAAAAAAAATCACATGATATTGTTAGGTTGATTTATGGATCTCTGATCTTTGGGTCACAGGTTTTGTTTCAAATCCTTCTTAAATCCTTCTTATGGACATAGATCTGATTATAAAAAAATATATAATTTAAATAATTATTACAGATGGTGAAATGTTAGAAAATTGTAGATTTTAATAAATATTCAAATATTTTTATTTTTACCTGAAATGTGGGGAAACATCACATAACATTAGAATGCTAATCCTGAAACGCATCAATACAAACTAACACAAATATTTTAAAACAGCTGAATTGAGTGGAAATAATTTTATCACACATTTTTAATGGTTTTGTTAGGGTATAGATTCTGAATAAGACTTTCTTTCAAAGTACATTTTTGTGATACAATTAAAGAAACTGAAAGATCTGTTATTTTAAATTTCTCTTAAACTAATCTGTTTCTCCAGATATGAAGTAAAAGTTTTTTTCAAATCAAATACACAACAATTACTAGTGTAATGCTGATTTATTCTTAATTACAAAAACATTCTAAGATATAATGTATTTATGTTATAATTTGATGTTTGGGTTCTCAAGAAGATTATCCAGTCAGACAGCAGAAAGAGCCTCACATAAGCCTGTCATGTGGGTTGCCAGTTTCAATGGTGAAATCCAGCTGGTTTGAACCTAAAAAGTCTGAATCCTCACTACCTAAACCCCAGCACTGGCACTCTGTCATTAATCAGTGGACGTTCTGAGGCATGGCCTGTCCATATACTGAGAATGAAAAAAGATGCTTGTGCCGCGAAAGCACACTGGCGGTAGTTTTTTTTAATAGTGATTATCTGACAGATGCTATAAGTGTGTACATTTTCAAACAACATATTACATATTTGCCACAAGCAAACAAATATTAAAATTCTATCTGCCACCAGACACAGTTCAACAACCACACATTGTTCTTACAGTAATGTAGTCATCCAATTACCCGCATTCTCACTTCCTTTACAGTAAATTTGTTCTCATGATACGGCTGCTTGATAATGGCAAAAAATCATAATAACAATTGAAATTGAAATGATTATTTCAAACTATTATTTCTGTTTCTGTCAGTAACCCTCTGGAGAAATATAGATCTAATACAATTGTGTTTTAAAAGCATATGTAAACTAGAAAAGTGGCTTTGCTCCTGGTTTTGAGGAGCAGAACAAACATTCTGAATTAATTTGACAGTAATAATTTAAAATCACAATTTTAAATTTGATCAATTGCACAGCCCTACCTCACATGAGTAGACTTAAGTCTAGAGCAAAATACTTGGACTGAGGTGACTTCTACACCCTTTTTAAAGTTGTATATACACAGAGACACACAGAGACAATACAATGATTCAGCAGTGTGTCCTTGGGCTGCAGGGGAGCATGTTTCTCAGGTGAGAGCACGGCCATCTCAGCTGAATGAGAAAAACAGCAAGGGCAATTTCAATCAGCCAAACCGTAATAAACAAAAAGATTAATATTTAACAATTGAAAGTATACACCAGGAAGTTTCAGTACTTGGTAACTTGGTCACAGATATTTTAAGAGTTTCCTGCTGGTAAAAGGGCAAAAGTAAATTTTTAAGTGTTCATGGAATTCCCATTGTTTGCCCAGTAGAAAATAATATTTGACTTTCAGTAGCACTTTGATTCTAGTCTTTTGGCATACACCGTCCTATTAAACTGTAATATCACAGAGGCTGTGTAAAAACATTCTCAAACAGAAAAATCTGGAGGAAGTGAAATGATCTCACAGCAGGATCAGTTTCAGACGCTTCCGCCCATCATTCTCCATCAGCAGAGACCACTGTCCTCCTGCCCCTATCTCTCATTACGCTGTCCACCTCTGGGTGACTCAGCATGAAATCCACATTAAAACACATAAGTCTGATTTTGATCATTAATCCAGACACTATGAATACAGCCTCTGCAGCTTTTAAGGCATTTTAAAATCTTTCATTTTCTGGAATAAAGTCTAACGGCCAAAAGTGAAATGGCACTGGCACCCTGCAGTGTCACTCTGCCCCAGCAGAAGTAATGATAAATTATTGTGCCTCATTATGCTTTTACACACTCAATAAAGCTGTAATGTAAAAGTCTTGCATTAATTATAGATGTTAGAAAATAAACAGTGCCTGTGAAGTTATCAGCTGAGTCCAGAGTTTCAGAGGCGATGCTGTATTCAGGCAATTAAACTATAGATGAGATGAGCTACAGACAAATGAAGGAAAGGCAGATGTGTGAAGATCCTGTTAGAAAAGTATTTTTTTTAATCTATTTTAATTTGGCAGACATTGTGAGGACACTGAAATGTCCTCCAATTGAGCAACAGACAAAACGTAGTAATTATAAAAGATCTATGACCTGGTAATAATTAACAATATAAAAGATATGATTATAGTTCTTGTGTGGGTGCAAAGACAGGGCTACTATATGTGCTCAGTATAAAACAAAAAAGAAACTCTCAGATGATGCATAATTGTTATAGAATTAGACAAGGGAGCATAGGGAGCTGTTATTTGAGTAATGGGCTCAATACTTCAATTATGTAGGCCTACATTTAAGAACACCAAGGTTTAGGATTTTTAGATGTCCTCTTACATAATCCACTATACTCTCACACCCAGCTCTGAGTATAACTGGGTGTGCTGCAACATCTTTTCTTAGATGAATGGAAACAAGTGTTTGGAGAACTACCCTGACAAAGGCAGGTGAATCATCAGAGAAGTCTGAAAGCACAGATCATGTAACTGCTCAAAGGGCTTCAGTAGCCTCATAATCCAATGCAAAATGCAAGTGTTAAATACAGGCCTTCTCTTTGCTTGTAATTACCAACTCATTGTTCCTACAAAAAAGCTTAGATGCCAAATTCATCAAGTCTTAAAATAGTGCGCACTTTTTAAACTGATATTAAGATGTCAAATAGCTTGGTGTGGGCAGGATCGTTACATACAGACAGTAATCTCACTCATGATTTCTGGTATAGAGCGGTGTACTCACGCCCGGGTCCTGGGGAAACCCATGGACAGCAGCACGTCCAAAGTAGAGCCGTGTTTGATAGTGCTCGGCCGGGTCTGGCGCTGCCTCCTCGGGGTCACTTTGGCATACAGGTCTTCTTCTTTGGCTGCCATAACTCACAGCTCCATCGGTATGTCAGCTCCTCGGCTGCTCTACTGTGCGCTCATTTAGTGAAAATGTATGTAAGCGGAAGCTGGTTACCCAGAGTGAGTCGTGTTAGGCGGAAGAGCAAAGAAACACCAAACCCAGCTTTGCCCCGATACTTGGAGAGAGCTGCCTCCAGAGGGTCAGCCATGGGCAGTCACCGCCCGCTCAGCCCCCTCTCGAGGTGCACACACTGAAGTCCTGCTCGGCTCTGACAGCCGCTGCGCTGTGAGCTGAGATGTGCTTGTCATTCCCTTGTACGTGTTGTCTTATTTATGAATGGAGTCGAGTCTGTGTCAGGCGCAGCTAGAGCCTGAAAAAGGCTTCAGCTCACCAGCGCTGTGCCCTCCTTCTTTAAAGGGACAGCACACCGCTAAGGCAACAGTCTCGTTTTATTAGCAGATAAACGTAACCGTGCTGTTCCCATTACCATAAAGAAAAGGCAGTGGACTTTATGGTCGACCCTCTGAAGTCAATCTGGAAAGTTGAAACTCTCACGTTTCCTGCAAAAGGAAGTGCGAAAGTTCACACATGGTGTAGTGTCTGAACGTTGAACGTATCTAACGTTGCTGATGGAAGGTCCGCCACCTGGCTGTTACCATGGAGATGGTATTACTAGCTGTAATGTTCTCGCATTAAACTAAAATAACTCCAGGAAGACAAGCAAAGGCCAAGTAAGCTGAGAAGCTCCACAGTGCACCTTTAAACGATGTCATAAAAACAGGGTGAAATGATTATGTGATGGCAGACAAAATAAATTATTGTGCACCTCTTACTCATTCTATTACCTCATTTGACACCTCAGTAACAGCATAATCTTGTAACAAGGCAATTTTATTGTTCAATAAGACTCAGCATCTTTACAAGTAAACTTAAAGATCAAAACAAAGAAAAACAAAGCTTCCTGATTCATTACACATTAATGTGCAAGTTTATGTAGTTTACTTTGACTACGCTATAGTATTTATTTCATGTGGCAATAACAACTACAGCATAGGATAGAAATTAGCTATTCTGAAGGCAATAACCTGACAGGTTAAGAGTTCATTCTATACATTATCAGAGCCAGGGTCTTTGTGGGCGAGAGTCCAAAAAATCACAAACAATAGTTAAAAGGGAAATAACTACAAACATCAAAAGGACAATTCAGACTATACAAAAATATTTGCAGAAACATGTAAAAAACATCAAGGGATATTCCATTTATTCCCAAGCACCATTCATGTCTTTCTTCTAGCAGAATTTAAACAGTTGTATCAAGTTCATAATGTCATAAATAAAAACAAGAGAATTCTGAGTTAAAGAAAATAAAAGCCAAACCAGTCAACTCATCAATCTTATACAAGCACTCAAAAATACACATAAAAGTACACATACATATTACAGCTGAAAAAAAAAACTTTGGGCTAAACAACAAACGATGACTTCTGTTTAAATTCCCCCTGTAAAATATGAAGATAAGCATGTTATCTTTTCTCACCATATTTGAATGTTGTTGTTAATTCAAATTTAACTTACATCGTCATCCTCCTCCCCTCCATACACAGATTGTGGCTGGTAGACAACATTTGGCTTTTGTCTATGGGAAATATGCATGTAGAAATATGTAAGTAAGCTGCCAACACAGAGTTATTCTGGTACAGATACTTATATATACATTAAGGAATTGGAAACATGACATTTTTATGAATAGAAAAAACAAGAACTCACGTTTCGCTCTTCTCTGTGGCGGCAAAAAAAATAAAAAAGGTTTAAGTGTTAGTTTAGTTTGACAGTGGTACAGGGATTGGTCATATAAACAAAAACATGTATGCCGTGTATTTTTCATATTTTATGTTTTTCACTTTTTTAATTTAATTTCTATTAATTATTTCATGGTATTCCATTGGTTTTACTTGAATTATTATTGTTATGAGCTCTGATAGAGCAATTGTTTTGTTTAGTAAATGATGCTTCGGAAACATTTAGGTTTATAAAATGTGCAGTATTCATGGATATCAGCTTCTTGTTTATAGGTGACATTTTGACTCTTCAAAGAGATAATGTTTTGCGTTGAACTGTAAACTGCTACATCACACTAAAACCCTTAGATATACAGTAGATTAGACTGTACATAATTGATGACATAAACAACCAGAAAAATGAGCTTACTTGGTATGTAACCTTTCTTGTAGGCATACCAGATGCCAAATCCAAGTAAAGCTAACAAAAGCAGGAAGATGATGACTCCAGCTACAATCCCTCCAGTGTTTAAGTCACCTAGAATACAGAAGCATAGCACTCAGTATGTCATAGATTGATCAGGTAATGATGATATTTTAAAAGGCAGCTTTTGTGCACTATTGCTGGTTTGCAGTTCTAAGTATTAGCAGTTAGCATATCAGGGCTGCATGTTCTAGTATAATACATTATGAGAGCCAATAAGGCAGGTCATTATAGTATAAGGCTGTCTTTGCTTGAAACAGTGTAAATGATTTTCTATGAAGTTACCTTTTCCATAAAACCCAGTTAAAAAAAATCCCATGAGCTACTTACGGACTTCCATTCTGGTTGCTTTACACTGCTGAGGAGGACCTGCAGAATTTTCAGCCACACAGTAGTAAGAAGCTGTATCCCCCTTTGATGCAGGACTGAACTCCTAAAGAAAGAAAAAGCATGTTTACAAGAGCACAGATTTGAAGTTTGTTATTTGGCATAAGAAGAAAGTGAACGAACCAGATTGCCATTTTTCGTGTTTAGGTTGTAGGTTGCATTTTGGAAGCCAGACACCATTTTGGGGTTTGCAGGAAGAAGGACATTATCTTTGAACCACTTATAGGTTGGAGAAGGAGAGCCAACATTATCCTTACATGAGAGCAGAGCTGCATTTCCTGTTGTCACTGATGCGGGCACCCTGCACACTGGAACCCCCGGTGGCACTGGAAAACCCAGAATTATTAGTACATCATTTTAACAACTTTTCATTCTGTAATTAACTTGACAACAAAACTACTGACCCAAAACAGTTAGCTGCACTCGAACCTCGCCAAACTGTCCTTTTCCAGAGACCTCACAGTCGTACATGCCGTTATCTTTGACAGTAACTGAAGTAAATCTCAGACTGCTGCCATACATTGTTACTCTGCTAGCATAAGATACTGCAAAAAAAAGTACTCTACATCAAGGGTTCATTTGTAATAATTATTTATAAAGCAGAAATTTTTACCTGTTGGTTTTCCAGCAAAAATCACATATGTCTGTGAGCCTTCGAGATCTTGAAATTTCCATTCTACTCTTGCATCACTACCAAAGTCAGCAGAGTACTGGCACGAAAGGTCAACTCCTGATGATTTAAAGCAAAACCAATGTGAGTCAAAAGTTTAAAAACGACTATTGTGAGGGTAGACTGACTGTAACTAGGCTGCCAATCTGCACCATCAGCCCTTTGACCAACACTCACACACACACCACTTTCATACCAGGCAATGCGGGTGAGTGTGGGCTGCCTAAGGACACAAAAACTGTCTCTCCACTGTGGCTCCTGGAATTCCCAGTAGTCTCCCATCCAAGTACTAACCAAGCTCTGCCCTGCTTAGCTTCTGAGATCTGACAAGATTAGGCTTTGACAAGGAGGTTTTGGCCACACAAAGATGTTTATAATAGGAATTTAGTTTAAAGCACTTTACAGCAGCCATTTCTTTATTTTAATGAACTTACCTTCATTTTCTTTGACACGCACATCATTGTTACGGGTAGTCACTGAAAACCCAGATACACCTGGAAAAAAAAAAAAAAAAAGGAAGTTGTTTACTTTATTCTTTAACAATACTACTGGCTCCATAATGAGTTGAATAGGCTGTGATATGTCAGCAGACAGTCTTGACATTGCACCCCAGAAAAGTGTAGTCTTTTGTAAACCTAACAATATTAATGCACTTTTATAATAGCTATTGCTACTATAAATGAAAGAATAAGAAGCTGCTGCATGGTTAAGACATATTGCACACAGCCATGGGGGGGACTAACTCGGACAAACCACTGCAGAACTACATCAATCATTAACTCTTAGGCAGTCACAAACCATTTCCCTCAGATTGAAAACATGTTCACATTAAGGGCATTAACACGAATCTATGGAAAGACAAGGGGCTCATGGGTTTAGCGCAGGTATTTCTTTCAGGTGGTTTCTGCTGGGATACATTGCCATTAAGGCAGTGTAAAATGAAACCAAGTCTCCATGACTTCCTTGTTTGCATATTGTGAGAGTTTCAGGCATAGACTGATAAACGCATTCTAGGCAAGAGCCATGCCACTGAGTCATACACTGAAACCACAACACTTTCTGAGACCTAATGATTGAACTTACAGTCATTAAAACCAAGGACACAAGAATGCAGAGACGCAAAGTTGAGTAAAATCGTGTTCTGTGCAATATTTGTATTTGTAAGTAACAATGAATATGCATCTGGGTTTGAAGACAACAAACAATCAAGATTCTTATCGACCTAGCTATACAGCAACTCAGCAGTAAGACCTTTCGTCGCTACAGGTGGCGCTCGCTTATGGCCTATCTTGCGTAAGAAGGCTATTTATTAATGGGCCTTAAAGTATTAAAGCCCTAAATAAAAGGAGAAACCTTTGGCCTTTTAATTGAAGTTATAGCACACTGTATCAAGATCTATTCCTCTATTTTAAATAACGATTACCGAGCATTTTTAGTGACTCACCAGCCGCAGCGTAACAGAAGAAAGCCAACGAAACCAGTCCCCAGACAATCATGTCGACGGGTTTGGAGCGCTCTAAAATATGGATCTTCTGGTTTATCCTTTTAAAAAAGTCTCTGAACAAACTAGAATTGCTCTAGAATGAGCCCAAGTAATTGGCTTAGGTTTAAATTCTACGTTTGAATCCTTCGAGGCAGTAGCAGCCGTACGCTTCACCTGTGGAGAGCCGTAAAGTGACAACAGGGCGGTGACTTCCGGTAACAGGAGCAGGTGTGTACAAGAGTCTCTGCGCACTGGCTCTGCGCGACTGAGAAGTGGAAAAACCGGTCAAACGGCGTAGCTATTTACTAAAGAAGCACATGAGGCCCAAACAGCGAGGAAGCGAAACTGAGAAAATCAATTACATATACAAACATTTTAGGAGGTTCAATGGAATGATTACATTAGTTCCAGTTCATTCTCTTTTCATTTACATACCCAAAATCTGCTTGGCCATACTGTCACGGCCACTTGCTAGGCCTGTGTAAAGATAAATAAATAAATAAAACAAAACCTATTTGGACTGAATTGGTGTTCCGTTTAAAATTATATTCATGTAGGAGTTTTTTCTTAAAAAAAATAAAATAGTGTTCAATGCAGTTGTTTATGTTTTATTAACATAGTACAGTACATTATAAGCAGTGCAAGTAAATGATTGTGCTTTGGCTACTTCCTATTCAACTATAAATAGTATAAATTCTTTATAATATCAGTGGAAAAAAACAGTAGCATGACAGTTTGTACAGTCTGCGTCTATGGTTAAGACTGTGGTATGGCTCAGGCACAGTAACATTAGAGGTGTTAGGGTCTTTTTTGCAGTAGTACAGGAACATATGCAGCATCCTCTTTGTGGAAAACTTTATTGCTTATGCATGCAGTTAAATTTCTGTTGTATTGTTCTTTGTTCTTGCCTTTTAGATGTAAGATGTGTCCCTGGTCAGACAGTGTGGCATAAGACTGCCTCCTCTCATTATTTGGCACACTACAGGAGACGCAGGGGACACTTTAAATGGCGATGAAACCTAATGAATCACAGATAGTTGTGCTAGGCTGCACCATTTTTGTGCTGACAAATCATTAACTGTAAAGCTGGTACATTTTTCAAAGAGAGCGTTTTGCTGTTAATTAATTAAACCTGAATCCCTCCTGTCTGTAATGTAACAAGCATCATCCTATTGCAGAACCAGGATTAGAGTATGGCATGCGTTTGGACAAACCAGATCATATCTGTTGGAGTTGTCCCATACACAACTCACTGGTAAATACAGTAGTAGTATATAGTATACATGTGCTTATTATTCAGTGCATATAACTGAGTATACAGGTCTATGACATACCAAATATACAGTATTGTGCCATCACCCAGTTAAACTCATTGTGCAAAAACACATCTCCAGAAGTGTCCAAAAGGCGTTGCTGGATATTGGCTGCAGTTTTCACATATGCAGTAGTTTGGCACTTTGTTTACAGCCAGTTAATTCCCAGGAGCATAGGTAAAGTCATCAAGGTCAACTGTAGACCACTGCAGCTCTGTAACAGAACACTCCAAGCAGAGCAGGGCAGGAGGAGTTCTGCAAAAATATCACAAGATTCAGACTCATGTTTGTTGTATATAAAATGTAATGAGTGTATGTAATCTAGAATTTCATTTACTTTTTTCTACCACTGATGTCTTGGATACCATGTTGGACTCAGGTGTCTTGATGTTGCATGTGAAGTTGGACTTTCCATTGGGAAGACTTTTAAAGAGAAATCTGCAGATGTTGCCTGGAAATAAGCGCACTTTGGCGCGGGTCCTCCATGGTGCGTGCTGCTCCTCGTCAGGAAAAGTTGTGTCGAAAAGCCTCTCACCCTGAGTGTACTTGCAGTATACTTCTGACGACTCAGCGGGAACGCTGTATTTGCAGTCCATCCTGAGGTTGTGCTCATCTATCGAGCAGTAGGTCAACTGTATCACCTTCTGGCCTGAGGCAACTCCTGTAAAGGGTTAGACACAAATCATCAGCCACTGTTCAGTCCTTAACTAGATAATGTACGATACTATATGAACATGAAAATCACTTTGATAAATGAGATAATGGTCTTACCAAAGAGCAAGACTGTCATCAGAAGGATCATTCTCAGAAAATATCCTTTAAAACAAACAAGAAAGTCATGTTAGAGACATTTACACATCTGTTATATGTTGTCTTCACAGACTGATGCTGCTTTAAGAGAATATTGTATTTCAGAAACATGAGAGGGTGGGTGTGCAGGTCTGAAGCAAATCTTACTTTAAAGTCTCTAACCCATTCTGAACAATCAATAACATCTGTTTATCACAACATTTGCTCACTATAAAAAAAAAAAAAATCAGGGACAATGCAACATTTTCTTTGAACCTAAACCCTGTGTCGCCTTCACTCAAATATTTGCTTCAGCGCTGACTCCAGTGTTTTAGCCCAGCACTCTACAGAAGTACTAGACCATCCAGGACCTGTGTGTCCTGTAGCAGAAATCACCACTCAACAACTACCACATTCTCCTGTTTAGCCCCAGTAATGAAAGGATACTCACCTTGGCAGATGCAGTTTGAGCACTCCTCCGTGTCTGCAGTGTGATGCCAGGGCTGGATACAGTAGAGGTCGGCTTATAGAAAAGGGAGCAGAGAGAGGGAGGGGGACAGAGCAGCAGGAGGGGGCGGTGCAGCGCCACTGGACTTTGGGGACATTTCTCACTATTGTATAAGGGATATGTATTGATTTGGAGCTTGTGTTTTACCAGAGGAGAGAGGATAACATGTCTTTACACAAATCTTGGACAGAACATAGTGAACAAAGTGAAATTTAATGACAGAGAAGAGCATATTTTTTGTTGTTATTGTGGTTTTAGAAACAAAAGTCAGCACTAAAAGAGCAGTCAAATGTTTGTTAAGTCAGCATGTTAGATACTTTGCAGTATCTGAATATGTAATTATCTCACCTTCAATCACTGTTAATTCATTCTTCTGATCAGATCATGGGAGCTTTGATTCAAGAAAATATACTTTACAAAGCATCTCATAACAAAACTAAACCAAACAATCATTTAGCTTTAGTGAATGGCAAAACTACTTTCATTACTCTCGGATACTTTAAGAGTTCTACTACAACTAAAGCACACAGGAGATATTACCTTTAAAAGTACTAAAAGAAAGTCACATACTGAAACCAAAAAGAATGAATAATGATTGATTTAGAGTGAAAAGTTGCATACATTTTATACTACACTACATGACGATGTCTGTACTGTATTTTACCTTATTCTCTTATCCCCAGAGCTCATTTATTTTCTCAAGGTCCTTCCCGGACAGCTGCTGAACTACAGGAGCAGTCTCAGGGGTCTAACACACTGCAGGATGGCACTATAGAAACTGCACTTTAAATATACATCATCAGTCAACTGTTTAAATCAAATTTAATCCAATTTGAAATGTTTATGGATATCACTAAGACAGGAACCATGATCAGTGCCAAAATCAGCTCTGCATCCTGCTGCTGCTCTGCTGGAGGCTGCTGCTGATCCACTGCAGAGAAGCCACAGCGACCCCCTTCACTCCAGACCACCACTGCTCTGTGCTGCCTGCTGCTACAGTCTGTGAAGGTCATATGCTCTCTATATGGAGAACTGCTTTTTCATGAACATTGTTATCAGTGTATTTGGTTATAATAGTATCTTTTCAGGTGCAAAAGTATGAGATGAATCAAGCAGTCTAATAATTGAAGTAAATGCAGGGGGTTTCATTGTGTTGAGTCAACATAAGTGTCAGAACCAGAATTGCTGTACACTGCATACAGCCACCCTTCCTCCAAGCGCCTCTGCATTGGTCCTTACATGTCACCAAAAGCATTGATTTCTTTATTTGGGTAGTTTGTGTGTGATGTAGTTCTTGATTTTGCCCTCTAGAGGGGGCTCTTGCTCTTCTCCAAAAGAAAGTTAATTTGGTTTCCCAAATCCTTGAGAAGTATGTAGTTTAGAGCGTCTAGTGATTAGTGGTCTTAACCGGAGTAAACGCATTCTTAAAAGTAGTCCTGTTCTTAGTCTTTCAACAATGTTCTTAGTAATTCAACAATTAGCCTAATTGAAGACTGTCCAAAATTAAGTGGGGAGTTAACTTTAGCTAAATTTTGACGTGTCTTTAGGAACAACATTTTTGAAAAATCCTTCCTCATTAACCTCTTGAGCGGTGGAAAATGACGGCTATGTGAGCGTGCGTTTTGGGGGGAGTTGCAGTCTACAGCCTGCTCTGTGCGGAAGTATATTGGAGGGGCTCTGCTCCAATCCGTGCCTTAACTAACTGGACTGGGATTTATAACAGGTAAGATATACTTGACTACAGGATGTAGCCTATTATCAGACATTTAAACTTCCATGTAGACAGAGGACGCCCCAGATCCACCATTGTCATCTGCACTAAACGCGCACATATGTCTAGGTCGTCAGTTACCGCAGTGCAAAGTCACTGCAGGGGCGTAGTCATCCGCAGGCTGCAGCAGACTGGACCACACATCCAGGCCTGCCCTGTACTGCACTGTTTTCTGTCACTCTATGTTGCGTGGTTTGCAGGTTTCATGTTTGCACGCGCTGATTGCTGTCGATGGTGGAGTGGTAACTTGCTGTCCCGTGGTGAACTCCGTTAGGTCGAAGCGCGCGCCTCTGATCCGATGATGCTCGTCGCCATGGAGCTGCACCTGTTCTCCGCAGCCTGCCTCCTTTTGGGGAGCGTCCATATCACACATCAGACCCAGACCCACAGTATGTATCTCTCAGTTTAGTCTATAAGCTCCTCAATAGTGGGCACAGTGTTAGGGTGCTATTGTATGGTGACATGGAGCTGGGCTTACATTCTATTTCTGTGATTTGAGATAATTCATTCTTATATATTTCATAATGCTGATGTGGATTATGATGTAGCCATAGCTAATAAACATGTGCTCATCTGTTCTTTGTTGACAGTGAGCTCAGTGTCCACATTCCTGTTCTCCCCTCGTGGTCCTCAGATGTTCCCCTGTTTGACATATTTGGAGCGTAATGTGAGGGTGGACTGTGAGTTTCCTCCCACCTATCAGATTCCTGGCCCCTATTGTGAGTACAGACAAGACAGTCGGCTAGTGGGTACCACTGTCCCAAATCAGGTCATTTATGTGAATGTAGAGGACCGCAGGAGGAGCAACGTGAGCCTAGTCTACCCCAACCTGTGCCGTCTTACCTGGGCCCCAATGGCAGACGAGACCCCTAAGACTTACACCTGCAGGGTGTACCAGGGCAACAGCTGGAAGGAGAACAGTATGGCTGTGCATCACAGTGAGTACATACCACACCAAAAAGACCTTATCATCCCCAACACTAATATTATATTCTTTATTTACAGGAATTCTTCCAATCTGCTCTGCATTGAGTGTAAAATCTGCTCCATGGATAATATTGCTAGTATTGTTGCTTCCTTTGCTTTTATGCCCGTTGGATCAATAAAGTTAATTACACATTTTTCAATGGATAAATTTGGGGAATTTACTTTTGTTTTGGTATTCTAAAATAATGACAAAAATTTCAAACAACAGATCTAAACCTGCAGCAGGAGTTCTAAATCAGAATATAAAGGTCAAATCAAGAATTGCTCTGCTTAATGGCAATGTCCTTAAATATATATATATATATATATATATATATATATATATATATATATATATATATATATATATATATATATATATATATATACATATTTAAAAATACTTGCATTTTTGGATAGCCTTTTCTTTAAGGTTCAATGCCCACACATGTACCACTGTAGACTGTGACATTTGGGTGGGTGCTAAAGCTTATAACAGACAATATATGCTATAACACTGCCTTTGAATATAGGCCTATACTTTGCATTTCTTTTCTGTATCATATACATGAGAGTAAAATCCAGTCTTATCCAGTGAAGAATGATTTGTTATATTTTTTTAGTTCTAAAAACACTATTCAGATGAAAGCCCGTGTAACTGATTTGATGAGCAGATACAAAAGTATCATGCTCCAGCTCAGCCAGTGTGATAGGGAATGAATTTGCACAAATACTGTGTGGAAATGCACTTGAACACAATTTCTAGAATTAAAATAGACATGCTTCTTATCCGTTAAACTTATTGTGTTGTTTGTGTTTCAACTTTATGTAATCAAAAATGTTCCACTGAGATTCAGAATCTCAGATGAGACCATTTGTACATGTTTTTTGTGTGGAGGTGGTGGGGCACTCAGAGGAAACCCATGCAGACACAGGGAGAACAGTCAGACTTCACTTGATAAAAAAAAAAAAAAAAGAAAAAAGCTCCTTCTGTTTGGGGAATTCAACCTTGAACTGTCTTGCTTTACCAGTGTATCCATTATGTCAATGTTTATGTTCTATGCTGCTCTGCACTTTATAGTTTGCACTGTAACCTGCAATAAAGTCTATATTTGAAATTTTTTGGGAAAATATGTTATAAAGACAAACTGTGTTCTAAATGCTATAGCCACCAAACTATAGGGTTAAAATAAATAGTTGCTCATGCAATTAATGACGAAGACCCGTTTGTCATTTGTAAAAGGCAGACGTTATCATGTTTGTCCAGAAGATGGAGCTCTTGTTCTGAGAAGCTGATAATAGAGTGGCCAAATAGAATTCTGTATGACTCAACATCTGTTGGATTATGAAAAACTAAAAAGGCACTAGTTTACCGATAAACCCACGTGCATGGACTTAATCTGGCTGATAGCCTTGTTTTAATATTTAAGTATTATTTACAAATCACAATTCACATAACATTCATTATGAACTAAACATATAGTACAGAAACATAAACGATTATATGATATGATTACAACACTGCAGATATTAAATCCATCATGGCTGAACAATCCTTGTCCCTCTCAGCATTTCAGAGGTACAACATTGAGGTATGTGTTTAAATATTTATAGGCACTTTGAACAAACCTATGTAAACAATTCATTATGGCTAAAGCACACAGTACAATACATAAATCCAAAATGTTTGCTCTAACAAACTTTCATATACAAAAGATCGATAAAAAGAGTATTTACAAGTCATATAACTGTACACATACTTATTCTACAAATACTGAAGAGAGTTTGACTTTGGTAAAACCTTAACTAGTAATTCCATGTACAAAGACTGTGGACATTATTATATTTAAACTAAAATTTCATTAACTTGAACTTGTCATAATGTCTTGCCATATATGGTGGAGGATGTTGTTTTTGCATGTGAAACTGTAAAACTATCTTGTCTTGAATATAGGAAGGCACTATGCTACTGGATATAGCAGTGGATTTCTATACTTTCTCATTGGAAATTATAAGACACTAGTTCACAGTAAGCCTTAGCTGGACACCCAGCTATGTGAGGTGCTTTTCCCTCTGGGCAGAAAGACCTGTGCTCCTGCTGGTTCAAAGTTAAAATCCAGCGCTCCCCCATCCATCAGTGTATCATGTAGTACTGACTCCATATCACACTCAAACCTCTCTAAGGACATGTTATCAAGGTCACTGGGCAGCCTCTCCTGGTGATATCCACGAGGGTGCACTAAAGTTAGCTCAGTGTAGCGATTACTATTACTAGAGACCATAAAATGATTACTGTGTGTTGTGTGGGACAGTCGAGGAGGGGCCCCTGGGCGACTAGTCAAACTCGTGAGTGGTATCATATTGCAGCTATTCAATTCTCGTGAGGGCAGAGGGCTTTGGTGAGATTGTGGAACTGGCACTTTAACCTCATTGCGTGGACTTATATGACTTTGGCTATTGTAGGAGGGCAACAGGCAGTCAGTCCTCATTAGAGAACCCCTTGTGGCTTCTCCATCTGATGGTAGTAGGTCTTTAGGGACAGAGGCGCAGTTATAGCTGTTCTCGTAAAGCCCAAAACTGGCCTTTGTCGCCTGCATGCGCACAGGGAGCAGTGGGGTCATCTTCACCTGGTTGTACATGCTCTTATGGTGGGAGGAATTGAATGGGCTATTCTGATGCATGACACCATTTGAAGTATGTGTTGTGTCACATGCCAGTTGGGAATTTTGGGGTGACATGAGGTTGAGGTTGTCCAGGAGATTGTCCATGGTATTTTCTGATCCTCTTTGAGCTATGGACCCTGTCATCTCAGACAGTCTGGGTAGAGGAGAGGTTAACTTGGGCCCCACAGAGTATCCCATGTGTATGTCTGGCTCACCCACCTCGTCCTGCTCAGAGGGGAAAGGAGACCTGCGGCCACTGAGGGTGCTGGCATCAGAGCTGGTTCGGGTCCTAAAGGTGCTCCAGGAGTCCTGGTCTTCATTGCTCTGAGAGTGTGGGCTTCCGAGCCAGTGGGAGTACTGAGGAGATGGGCTATGGGAACTGCTGTCAACCAAGTCAGCTACTGCGATCTGAAAGGCACAACCATGTTAAACAGAAATATCTATGGGAAAATTACTTTTTAATGATCAACTATTTGTTTTAAATCATTAGTATGTAGCTAAAACTGTGGATTACTTAAGCAGAAGTAAACATTTGTAATCTTTTTTGCTACTTATTTAGAGTTTATAATTACCAGTCATATTTTTTACTCTTTGTTATTATAATATATTGTGATGTGTGAGCTACTGTGTACAAGTAATTTCCCTTGTGGATCAATAAAATTTGTAAGACACAAACCAATGGTCTCATCTTAAGATCTACAACTATACTACTGCTATACATATAACATTTGAGTCATTTCAAATGTTACTCATTGCATAAACATCTAATTCGTAGATGAAAAATACTGCTTCTCCTACCAAAACCTGCTAATATACTCTGAGAGAGCTGTCTACATTGACCTTATATTAAGAGGTTATTATATGAGTCTAGGTAACACCTTCTTCTTGGTGGCACGTCCCCGGCTCTTGGAGAACTTGCTGTTGTTGTCCATGGAGGCAGCTCTGCGTCGCGGTGACTTCCCATTTTTTCCTCCTTCAGGATTCAGCATCCACCAGGAGCTCTTCCCTGTGCCCTCATTCTGAATACGCACAAAGCGACTGTGCAGAGACAGGTTGTGTCTGATGGAGTTCTGCCAAGCAAAATTTTTAAAAAGTGATTTAGTGAGCAGATATATTATTGTTTAGGAGCTATTGATGTTTACTAGGAAAATTAATCATATTTTCATATTTTAATGGAAAACATGATTCAGTCGTTTCTAATTGTCAATTAAATTACTATATCATTAAGCTTGAGGTAGAATTTTGAGTTTACTTCTACTGTTGATGCTCAAGGGTTTATTTATTTATTTATTTATTTTATTTTTAATTTTTTTTTTAAAGCCATTTGTATTTGTTTTTTGTTTTGGGAAACTTTGTGATTTTTGTCTCATATCCTTGCATGTTTTCAGACTCAAAGCCCATCCACACATGTGACGCCTTCTATTTTTACAAGTTTGAATAATACTTCTGGGTTCAAAGAAACTACCATGTTATCTGTATGATTAGTATACTTAAAGTGGTAATTTTTCACATTGTATTAGCGAGTGAAGGCAACAGATGAACAGGATGTCTGCGCATGTCGATATCCTTCTCTCATAATATTTTGTCTAGCAAAGCTTTTCCACTCCCCCTCTGCGCTCACCATTGACGCAGGTTGGACTGAGCCGATATATGAGATCTGAGGTGTCATTTGCACTAAATAAATATTAGTGAAAAGATAAGCCCATGTGAGCCAACCAAAGTTAAGGCAAAACATCTAGATAAAAACAAATCCCTAACATCAGTAGTCATGTGCCTTACTCTAATAATTTTACTAGAAAATGGGTTCAGTGGGTTTAATAAAGAGACACCAAAACAAGAAGCCATTTTTCAGTATGGCCCCTGACCTAATACAGCAAATGTGTATGTGGATGAGACATGGAGGGATGGACTCTATTTAAGCTCATAGATGGTAACAGCAATTAACATCATAGGATTTTTAGAGTATGGAATGATGCCAACATCACAAACCTTAGAGTAAGTATATTAAATAAATATATAAATTTATTTGTGATTGTGTTATTTATGTAAATCTTACATTTCTTAATTCATATGGTGGTTTGTGTTACTTATGTATTAATAATCATTGGAAGGCATGTGGCACTAATTATGGCTTCTAATATTGTGATTTTGTTGATATCATTTTCATACACCTAACCTTTGCTTACATTAAAACTGGACTGAACATTTTGGTTAACCCCTAAAAAGTAAATGTTTGTATTGGTCTAAACTAACAACTGTACAACTCAATCTGTATTCAGTCCATTTTTCCTACGCCATGTTTTCCAATCTAAAATGGACATGGGGGCGCCTGCTGTGGTCGAATTCACAGGAAGAAAAACACAGATTGGTTGAGAGGTGAAGAAAGACACTCTTACAGCACATACATAGCCCATGGCCATAATCAGACAAGTGCATGCTGGGTATGATCAGACCACAAGATACAGTATACTGGTGTCGTGGAAATCCCCGTCGAGAGCCCATAGTTAGTGAAGCCAGATGTCCCTAACCACATATTCAGTCGGGAATAGGGACGCTCCTTTTTAAAAACATCATAACACATAATAGGCGTGTTCATATTCTAGTAGTTCTTAGTGTTTTTAACTTAAAGGTGCACTGTGTCCTCATGGAGGAAGAACCAACTTCAACAATAAGAATGTTATTTTATAAATATGTATTGTATTTGGTAGTAATTGATATTTTGATCACAGATGTAAAAAAGTATTCTGTGTTTGAAAATGGAACTTGCAAATACACTCAAATCTATAGATTTACTTAGATAAATCTCAATTGTAGAATAATCTTGGCTCGTGAGACAACACTCTCATTGCAGTTGCTGTAAAGACATCAGGCTTCCATCCTCAAATAGAATTATAACTGGTTCATATTAATCTGTAAACTGAGTTGGGAAGTTTCTTTCTGACATTTGACCATACAGACAAAAATACAGATATATTTTTTACCAGTTCATTTGTAAATATTACATAGTGCACTTTTAATGTTCACATAACATCTTCATCATTTATTCCTCTAAAATACAGTAATGCTTTGAAGAGATGCCCCTTCTGAAGTAACCTTGTGCTTTGACTTCTGCTGCTCTGTGTACAGTATGCAGCACGGGTATAATCAAAAGGCACAATTTCTTTTTGGAAATGATCATATTCATTTGTATACAGATTAAATGATGTTATTACAACTCACTATAAACTTTACAACATCCATTAGCTTGAATGAGTAGCGCTCCTCATTGTGTTGAGCGCAGACAGTGAAGCCTGATCTTCTGAGAGCATGTGGACGTCTCTGTATGTATGAGAACAGGGGGAGGTTACAGGGTTCGACACATGCATAGGCAGGGCCACAGTAAGGAGGGTCAATGAGTTCACTACATGGAGAATACTCACTTTGTACTCAGAAAACTACACACGTATAATAGGGTAGAAATGGTTGACAAGTATAGGATTATGTGCTACCGCAGAAGCTTCAACAATGAGAGGATATCCTGCACATGAGTTTTGGCAAGCAGAAAAATGCCAAATATTTAAAATATTCTTTTGAATTTTTATGTTAATAATTGTCAGGTGACTTGCGGAGAAAAATCAGAAATCCAAACTTGAGCTCTATAACCTTTATTATAATGAGATTTAAAATATGCAAATGTATATATATCCTTTGATTATGGACCACAATAGATCAGCGGCCTGGGACTGGCCTGAGATAATCCTTGTCTGAGACAGACCACACCTCAGCCCAAAGGGAACAAAAGGCACCCGGCCTCAGTAATGCAGGAGGTGCCCCTTGCACACATCGCTACTTCAGACACAGTCAGGCTTTAATAAAGTCTCTCATTGAAGCTCAACTTCCCAAATGCATTGTGGTGACTGTGAGTGGTGCCACCTCCAGAGGAAAACATGAAGGCCATTGAAGGTTTTCACAGTTTCAGCAACTTTGTAAAATACACTTAATTTGTTTTTATTGATCTGAAAAATTCTCACGACTTTACGTAAGAGCTGTAGGAAGATTTTCTATCTGCAAAGTAGGGCCCCAACTAATTGTTTTAGCCGTCGACTAGCAGTCACAATACTTTTTCTTGACTAGTCAAATGTCCTTTTCCTATTGTACAATGAGATTTTTCTTTTACTTTTTTAAAAACTGAAAGCTTCTAGCTAGATAGTGAATACTTTTATTGATGAAAATCCAAAATGAGATTTGATACTGATACTTTTGACATTTGAATTTAATAGCGCCACTGTCTTTGCTGTATGTCTTTTGGCCTGTATTTTAGACTCTGTATAGTCAAGACAATGATTACAATTATCAAAATATGATGAATATTTTAATAGACGACTAGTCATGATTATTATGATTAATTGCTGCGACCCTACTGCAAAGAGACACTGGCAAACTCCTCCTCCTACACTACAAAACAATCAGTGTCACAGCTGCTGGTTGTTAGTTAGTGAAGCATGAGGCTGGCTGTAACGGTCACAAAGTAAGTAAACAAACAAGGGCCAGAGGAGGGGACAGGTGCAGCCAACAGAGAAAGTGGTCCACAACAATTTGTACATGGTCCAATGGTACAAGACACAAACACCAAACTGTACTGTCCCCCTGAGACACAGTGTAAAGCAGCTGCCATTTAAACCAGCAAGACAAAAACCAAGAAAAATACATTCAACTGCTTCCAGCTTCCACATCACTTCTAATGTCAATGTGATGCCAAGTAGAACAATTGGTCATCCGTCAAATGGGCCATGGTATAAAATAAGGAAGTATGCTTATCTCTTGCACTGTAAGCGACTTCTTCGAGGTCAGCTCTGTGTTGTGCTTATTGGATGGCTATTTCATGTAGTACTTGGTCAAAGGATGTTTTAACAATAGCACAGAAAAACAGACCGGCCTACTGTATAATGTCAAACAGCGGTTCCCAAACATTTAGTCAAAGTTGTGTACTTCTTCAGACTTTGATGACCAGTTGCATTTCCCTCTGGCACACTTGACAAAAATGTCTGTTGATGCCACACATATAATGCATTAAAGAATCACATTTAAAACATTACGCAGGTCTGGGAGGTCGTAATAAGAAATCTTTTCATAGGAACTTTCCTTGTGTACTCCTTATGTCATTCCATGTACCAATGGGAGCACCCCTACCAAAAGTAAAAGCTAACACAGTTCTCATATAGTGATTATTTTGTAACTTGTATGAATGTCAGTCACAATTATTAATACAAAATAAATCAGCTAAATAAATACACCTAAAAATAAAAAAAAAAATAAAGACTATGCAGGACTTCAAAATCCATGATGATAGTTGAACTTTGTTGTGTCTGTGTAATCCCTCAGCGGTCCAGTTAGGATCCAAAAGAAAAAGAAATTTTGAATTCTGTCAATTGGACAAAAGTGTTTGCTGTAAGTGCAGATTCGTTGTTATATAGTGAACTACATATGAGCCTGCTGAGATTACAGTAAAAGGACAAGCCACTTCCTGCCAGTGTCTTCCTGCGTGCGGTGCTCCCCCTCCGCCTCCTGCATCAGACTCAGGATGAGTAAGATCTGAGGTGCTAAAATGACAAGATCTATTGAGAGGATTTGAATTAACACACAGCCTCTGAGTGGTGGTGACCTAGTTCTACAAGGGACCCTCATGAAGACTAGAGTTGGGGTGTTTTCAGATACTGGCATTTGATAAATATTTGCGAGGAATAGGTTGCATTTTGCATTGAAATTACATAGACTTACATTAATGTCCTGGAGACTGAATCTAACCTTAACTATAATCTCAAACAGACCAAACTATACAGAATTTGATGTTAAGCACGGACCAGGACTGTCACTCATGATAATTACTACCTACTAATTAAAGCTGAAACAATCATTTTGGGGGCCTAACATTTGTCATGTGTCTACATTCTATGCACTAATGGAGAATATTTTGTTATTTTTTGTAGCATAGTAAGATTAGAAATGTAGAAGGCAGAATAAGTAACGTCTATAGATCATTATCATCATTTTAGATTCTCTAGTACTAACCAAAGTGTTTCATTTGGTTTTCTATTTGTTATTTAGAAAAGGCATTATCCTGCTATAGACTCATTGTATCAGGGGCAAAGAGTGGTTTCTATATATTTTTTGTTAGTAATATATCACATTTTGTTACCCACCAGACATTCATTACCTAACTCTGATGTTTTGTATAATCGTTTTGAGGTCTGCCTGATCATGTCTTTGTGAACATTCATGGGGGGTTATTACTACTGAGTCTAGAGAACAATGCATTGAGCCACATGCCACAGATTCCAGTGGCTCACACATGTATGCAGACTGTACACAGCCTGTCCGCCGGTCAGCTGACTATGCCCCTGCTCCCCTTAGGACATGCTCTGTTCAGAAAGCCCCTGCCCAGAGCCTCCCTTTCTTCATGGGGTTACTTCAATCTCCCATGGGCCTCTTAAGTTCAGACCTCCCTCTTTAACCTTGTGATCCCCAGACAAATAGCTGTCAGTTATCCGTTTCTTTCTTCTTTCTTTCTTTAAGTACATCATCTTTTATAGGCCAGTGTCCCCAAACAGGGTTCACAGTGGTATTACATAGACAGAACTTATACTCAAGCATAAACCTTAAAAATATATTTCTAGGTTTAAATAAAATACATATGGAACATGGAAAACATGGAAATCAGAATTAAACTCAATACAATTAGGCTAGCAGTTATGACAATAACACTTTTTGAGGTGCAATATATTTCAGCAGAAACTACGCCATGCTGCAATAACCCTGAAACCAGATGATCCCAATTAACTTTTTATTTATTTATTTATTTTTTAAATAAACCATGTCATAAAAATTAGCTGCAAACAATAAATATTAGAATGAAACACTTAATGTTAATGATTACATAAACATTACATGGCATATATTCTAAGTACATACAGCATGAGCTCATTGCTCACTGTGACATTTGCAAATATTGTGTATTCATGTGATTGTTCGACTAGACCTGTTGAGCAACAAAAGAAATGCATCATAAGTGCAATTTCTAATGCAATGCATTGAGCATGCCATTGCTGCACTATGGAAAGTGTCAAAAAACACTAAATTGGCTATTTTAACATTATCCAGTTAACTGCTAACAGAACATCAGTTCCTTGGGGACCTGCTCCTCCCATTGGGACAGGTCTCTTAAGCCAACACTTCTAAGATCTAAGATGTTAAACCTTCAAAAACATCCTAAAGAACTTTTCTCATGCCACAGAGTGACAGACACAGGAAAAGTGCCCTGGTCCCACCCTTCGCCCATTGCCCGTTTCTAAGGTGGAGTTTGTAATCACAAAGGTTCAAAGTCATCTACCTCCTCCCACCATCAGGTTCTTGCTCTCAGTGCTCTCTGTCAAGTCAACTAAGGATGTGGCACCTTAAACATAATACAGTATAAATTCTATTAAGCAATATTTACCCAAGCACTGTGGGTATAAAACAATCTTTGGAACAAAACATTCTTTTGCCTGTTGGTTCTCCAAGGCCGACCCTGGTGAGCAAAGGGTGGAGTGTGTTAACTCATGGCACTGTTTTCCATCCACAGAGCAGGAAATGCATCATAGTTCATTGTGGAGCGACTGTGATGTTTTTTAACAGGAAAGAGTAAAAATAACTTTAAGAGGGTTCAAAAGACCACGGAGCATGCCAGCACTGATAAAAAAAAAAAAAAAACATCAGTTGATTTGATGTTTGCTCATTAAATTCAGCAAAAAAGATTTGTCATCTCACTAATGACTAAATTTTCCTTTATAATGTGGTAGGTATTCATAACCAAAATCATAGACTTACATAAAGAATACATGGTCCAGTAAACCAAATATGTTACTTGAAACCCCTTGGAACTTGTGTAAACGGATTTTTTTCTTAGACAAAGCCCTGCAGTAAAGGCCTGAAGGGTCAAAGAGGAAGTGATGGGACTCAAGAGCAGATTCTTCTGACTGTGGCATCCGCAGAGGAAACTGAAGACAGGGACAAAGATATGAGCACACGGCTCAGGAATGAAGGATGTTTGACGTTATGCTCTGTGCTCACTGACAATGAGGAGGGTATGGCTGATCTAAAGCTTACTCTGTAGTTTATGTCTTATGTATGTGCATTACATATAGGCAAAGCAATAATTTAGCAAAGCAGAAGAGTGAAGAGCATTACCTGAGAACAGAAAAAAAGGCAAGAGGCAAGTAATGTTTTACACGAGTAACTGCATGGTGCATTCACCATTAATACAACTAGGATAAGAAAATACATTTAGTACGTTCGTTATTTGTAATGGGCCTATTTTAGGGTTTTGGGAGAAAAAAAACATTCTCTGCTAAATAATAACACATAAAGTACTTAAGTACTTTGAGCCAAACTCAGTTTAATTCTCTCGGCACTCGTTTGTTATTAGAATGGGGTGTGTGCACTCACCTTCCAACCTGCTGAGCTATTGCTGTCCCCTTTGTCATTGAAGTAGGGCACACTTTTGACCATCCAGTCGTAAATCTGCGACAGCGTCAGTCTCTTCTCAGGTGAGCTCTCTATGGCCTTGGTGATCAGGTCAGCGTAGGACATATTCCCCCAGGCATTACGTCGGGACGAACTACCTTTCCTCTGACTGATGCTGCAGGAGGCACCCAGAGGAGCTCCGGGAGCAGGCACCTGTTGCTGTGCCGGTACGTGTGGGCCCAATAGCTGCTGCTGTGGAGGAGGTGGATGGTGGTGATGATGAAGGATGCGACTCCCCTGGTATTCACGGCAGGGCACAGGTGATTTCTGCTCAGTGTATTCGCCATAGTCTTCTTCTAATAAAGCGAGGTTACTGATGTACTCGCCGTTTCCCGCCGGCTCCTGATGCAGAGATGGCCCCGGGGAAGACGTATTGGAGTTTCCAGGGTCGAGTTGCTCCGGTCTGCGCAATGGCCAGGTGCAAGACCGTGGGCGAGAAAGAGGCTCGAAGTCTGCGTCTATTTCTACAGAGTGAGAGGGTCCTGGTGGTCCTTCAGCCATATCAACACATGCTAAAGAAAAACTAAACTGCTGGTATTATTAAACACTGAATAAACAGTGTTGAGTCCAGTTCTGCTCTACACTGAACTAAAAAGCTGTCATGCAACGCTGGCTCTGAACTCTACCACAAGTTCACATCATCCTTCAACTCTAGCGCTTTGTCAAGAGTCTGTGGGTGCCTTCACTGCCTGATTACTGAGTACGACTTCTGAGTACACAACTATTCAATTAGGCACATTACCATTTTCCTATTAAATAATAATTTATTTTAGCCGCGAAAAACAATGTGTTGTTTTTTTTTATTGTTTGAATGGCTTTAACTGAACTGCTGACAATAATTTATTTGGGAATTTAGGCTAGATTTAGTTTTATGTACTATTTCCCTGTTAATCCAGGTAAACCACAAATTATTTGAAATTGCTTCACATAAATTGTACCTTGTATCTCTTCAAACAGACAAAAAAAAGCAGTAACAACATCAACTTCTATAATCCCTATTAAAATTCCAACTCTCTTAATGGACCATGAACGTCCCACCAAATCTCAACTGGTAACATGCTATGATGGTCCCCCTAGTGGTACAAATTGAAATTTACATGTCAAATGAGATTGTTTTAATTATGGTATACATCTCGACCAATGTCATAGACAGGTATTTTTCCATTATGCACTCTTCTTGTTTTTATAATTATTAACAAAATGACATCAACAAAAAATATATTGTCAGCAACAGTACAGTGCTTTTGCCTTTTTTTAAACATCCTCCACTTTTAATTTAGATAGACATCATCCTCCTTGAGCACTTCTTCTTTTTGACTGAAATAATCTCGAAACCAGGAGATGTGCTCCTTCTTCTGTTGGACAGTCAGGTGTGGGTTTCTGGACAAACCAGTAATCACAAGCTCCATGAAATGACGAACAGGCCCCTGACGTGGAAAACCCTCCTCTAAGTGTTTCTCCAAGAAAATATGCTCATGAAATGGTACACTAGCTTCTTCTTCCAAGCCTATGGGTTAAAAAAAAGTAAGTGCAATTATTATCAACTTGTAATAAAATTAAACAAAATTATTTCTTACCAATGTCATTATCAATAGGATACTGCCACATTTTCCCTTGTTGGGTCCACTGGATCATTTCCTCAAAACCATTACGAGGCATATGATTGGTCACTGTAGATAATTTGTCTGCATAATCCATATCCCATAAAGTCATCCGTTCTAAATTAAAACAGTTTGTTATTAGATATGAAATAAAATTTACAGAATTATTACATTGAGTCAGTGGTCAGTTCGGGATTACCATCTGTGGGTAAAGCAGTTACTTCTGGAGAGAAAATGTTCAGTCTCTTCACTGTAAATAGGTTTCTCCTAATGAAATATGACATGAAAAATTAGAGATGCCTTTTACAAAAAAATTAATTTTAAATTATACCTTTTTCGAACGCTATCCAGTTCACCAGCGATTCCTCTTTCATGTGTGTAACCTCGGCCATCATCATCAAACCTAATCTGATTAGCTGGCCGAGCATTCAATCGATTTGGATTCTTTCCTATTTTCATTTCTGCTATGATTACCCTGTAAATACATTAAATTATGTTATTTCCAAAACTGCATTTCTATACAATTTTTATCAGTATTCTAAATTGAATTAGGTTCTTAAGTAAATATGTGAACCATCTTAACTCAACCAACCCAATATTGTTCCTATCTCCTTTCTTTTGTGCCTCAGTTTCATGCTGGCGCAGTTGCTGAAGAAGCTCAGACTCTGCTTGACTGGGATTAGGGAGAGTGGAGGCTGCAGCTGATGCAGCAGCAACAAGGTCCGGAGCCAGAGTTTCCCTAAAAAAATTAAATATTAAATAATGGACAAAGGTGGCACTGAAAGTACTACATCTCTCTTCTTCTTACTTTTGCTGTGAAGTTTTTACTGTAGCATTCTGAAACATTGTAATAGTGCTCTCCAAGGAGTTGGGTCTTGGTTTTGGTGTGGTAGAAATTTCTTGTCTTCCCTTCAATCCTTTTAGCTTTCTTTTGTTAGTTATGTCTACTTTCATTGCACCAAGTAGGTTCAGAAGACCCTCCTTCCCACTCCTGGACTTCTCTATTACAGGTGTTGTTGCATATGGTTCACTTGTAGTTTGGGACTGTGTGGCACTTTCATCATCTGGTATCAACGCTGTGGACTTTACTTCCAATTGAGGATTTTCATTAGTTGGCTCTATAGCTGGATTTCTAACAACGTCTACGTTAGGTGTACTATCTGAAGAGTTACACTTAGTTGGTGCATCTGAAGGAGCTTCAGTCTTCTCACAATGTTGAGCTGAACATGTTCTGAGTCCTTTAGCGCCAACCTTGTTTGTCAATCTGAAATAAAGCAGTAATTAATGTAACATCAAATAACAAAAAAAAAAAAACACAGACCGTAAGAACATTATACTTAAAAGCTACAGGTTTTGCATATCAATTATTATTTATCAAAATCAACAACAATAACAACAAAGCCATGTTACTTTATTGATTTAATCAACTAAAAAAAAAAACGCAGACACATAATATGTAACATCATGTTATGGCATGAGAATAACCTCAGTAGGACGAGCCGGTTCATTAGAATAAAATCTCACCTAAGATGTGCCGCTGAAGATTTGTTACATTTAAATGCCAAAGCAAAAGCATCAGAGAATTTAACCAAGGTGTTCGGACCTGAAAGCAAATTCCGCACTACGCTTTTATACATGTTTACTTCTTGAAATGCCCTTCCACGCCAAGGTACAGTGTTTCCTACTGCATAAAGTTACCGGGGAGATATTATTCTATCGTTAGTTCCGGCCACAAAATCAGCAAAATAAGCAAAAAGGCGTTTATAGCATATAAAATCTATACTGATGTTAGACCTCAAATTATACATATATGTGGCATTATTTATTTATTTATTCGATTATTTTCTAATGTAAATTGTAAATTGGTCATTGCATGTCTTCCCGTTCTCTATGGCTTCCTCGCGATCTTTCAACCGGAACTCAAAATGGCGACGTATCACAGGCGCTGATTCAGAACAGGGCTAACCTCAGTGTACGACAATTTCTTTACTTTTAATAACATGCGATTGAAGTTCATTGTCCTTTTTTGGCTCAGCAAAACAAACATATTATGACATCTTAACAGCAATTGTTTATGTTTGTTCGTGTTACGGATTAAAAGCAAACAAAGCGCAACTTGAACAGGTAAGTGTAATAGAAAGCTACTACTAGCTTTCTAGCAATAAAGCTAACTTACTTTTAAAATTTTGATCTGTAGGCAAAAATCTGCTTGGACTTAAAATGCGTTTTATGCAGTAGTACGTTTAAAGTTAAAATCAAATTCTGTAAGGCCGGGTTTGTTTGATTTTTGTTATAGCCTCTTGTTCCTTCAGACTGGCAAGCCCGCTTTTACTGAATTAGGTTTGTTTATAGTAGCGGTAACAGATGATACAAGATTTTTCATGTTTTACATTGTGTCAAACTTTAAGAAGCAAAACCATTATTTAGGTAATTGCATTTTATGAACCAATGGCTATTATTTGTGATTTTTTTGTTATGAATAATAATGAATACATACTTTTAGTCTCTCCAATACATGCATTGTGATTTGTGTCCACTGTATAAGCCAGTTTGTGATTGCATTGTGAAGATACTAATTGTTGCTTTATTTCTCTGGCAGTGGAAATGGCAGAGGAACGGCGTCAGAAGCAATGTTCAGTCAGTCTTCCCACAGAGTCCATGAAAGCCATGGCAGAGTCTGTTGGTGTGGGACAGCTCCAGGAGGATAGCTGTGTTGCCCTGAGTGAAGAAGTCAGCTACAGGATAAAAGAAATTGCACAGGTAAATTATATCATGTCACATGAATCCATGATGTGTTTAATTATGACAAATGTACAATTTTTATAGGATGCACTCAAGTTTATGCATCATGGAAAAAGACGGAAATTAACCACAAGTGATATAGATAATGCTCTAAAACTCAAGAATGTTGAGGTAAGTAAAACATGTGGTTTAACATTTTGATACTTGAGATGTGCTTTGTTTACTAATTTTATTTTGTGACTTTCCATAGCCCCTATATGGATTTCAGTCCCAAGAGTTTATTCCTTTTCGTTTTGCAAGTGGTGGTGGAAGGGAACTACATTTTTATGAAGAAAAAGAAGTTGACCTCAGCGACATAATCAACACACCACTCCCCAGAGTCCCACTTGATGTCTCCCTAAAAGGTAACTCGTAAACACAACATACTAAAGTGAGCCAAGTTTCACAATGTTCAAAATGGTTAACATGCATTATTATTTTATCCAGCTCACTGGTTAAGTATTGAAGGAATGCAGCCATCAATTCCAGAAAATCCACCTCCTGGTTAGTCCTGATAACAATGCCACCTGTTTTGACTCCCAAATCACTGTTGTTAATGTAACATTAATATTAATGTTATTAGCATCAAAAGAGCAACAAAAGACTGAATCAACAGAACCTCTCAAAGTTGTCAAGCCTGGTCAGGAAGAGGATGGCGCTATTCAGGGAAAAGGTCAAGGCGGAACAACTACAGATGGCAAAGGTCAGTCTGTAACTATTCAATTGATTGAAATTTGGTATCTGATGTTAGATCTAAATTGTCAAATATGCCATATATTTGTGTATCAATTTCAAGGAAAAGAGAAGGGACTGATCAGGCTGAAGCCACGTAGCACTCATGAGCTTTCAGTGGAGCAGCAGCTCTACTACAAGGAAATTACAGAAGCGTGTGTTGGCTCCTGTGAAGCAAAGAGGGCTGTAAGTTGTCATCACCAGCTGTTGTTGTTGTTGTTTTGTTGTATACCATTTCCTGGATATGAAATACATGTTGTACTTTATCTTTGTCTAGGAGGCATTGCAGAGTATTGCAACTGATCCAGGCTTGTACCAGATGCTTCCAAGATTCAGCACATTTATTTCTGAAGGGGTAAGAAGATCTTGTGTGCATTTTTTTGTTGTTGTTGGAAGAAAGTACGCTTGAGAATGTCTGACTTTTCAATGTCTTAAAGGTCCGTGTAAATGTGGTACAAAACAACTTGGCTCTCCTAATTTATCTGATGAGAATGGTTAAAGCTCTAATGGACAACCCTACATTGTACCTGGAGAAATATGTAAGTAAAGCAACATACAATAAATATTAAATAGTTTTACTTTACTATGAAAATATTTTTTAACATTGTCTTTGTGCTTGTAGTTGCATGAGCTCATACCAGCTGTTGTTACCTGTATTGTAAGTAAACAGCTGTGTTTGAGACCTGATGTTGACAACCACTGGGCCTTACGAGATTTTGCTGCTCGACTAATGGCTCAGAGCTGTAAAACTTTCAGTACAACAACAAACAACATCCAGTCTCGAATCACAAAGACATTTACAAAGGTAAAAAAAAAATAGAGCTTTATGTGGAAATCACATACATTTAGTACATAGGCATGTAAGTGGGTTGGTTATGTTTTTATAGCTTAAACACTTTTTTTTTTTTCTGGATGGTATCTTCCAGAGTTTGCTAGACGACAAAACCCAGTGGACAACACGATATGGCTGCATTGCTGGACTTGCGGAATTGGGTCCTGATGTGAGTATTATTTTTATTAATTTTTTTGGAGTTTTTTTCAGCTTTATTGACTAAAGTCTTCTCTTTTGTCTTTGCAGGTGATTAAAACACTTATTCTTCCTCGGCTTGCTGTAGAGGGTGCTCGCATCAAAGCAGTGATGGAAGGGCCGGTGATTTCCAATATTGATAAAATAGGAGCTGACCATGTTCAAAGCCTTTTACTGGTAATTTATCACTTACCTTTAAATGACAGTTGCATAATATTTATTAATCCAACAATCCAAATTGTCATTTTCTTTTAAGAAACACTGTGCCAGCGTTATTGCAAAGATCCGTCCTCAACCTGATAATGTTGAACAATACCGTGTGGACTATGGTTACCTTGGACCAATGCTTTGCTCTCATGTAATGAAGGCTAGAAACCAGGCAGCACTCCAGGCACAGCAAGTTAACAGAACTACGTTAACAATCACACAAGTTAGTACAAATTCTTAAATTTGCATGCCTATAAAATAAATTGTACAGTAATGTGTTACGGTGTTATGTTATTTGGAATAATTATTTGTTTTGCAGCCGCGGCCGACCCTCTCAGTCTCTCAAACCGGGTTAAGTGGATCGACAGGACCTCGAACTCCCAGCATCATCAAGGTCCCAAGTTCCTTAACACTGATGTCGCCTCGTCCTGGGACACCTTCTCAGCCTTCTCCACCTGCCACCAAGTACATTGTGATGGGCACTAGTGCAGGAGCTGCTTCTACTCAGCAGGTACAAAGGTTTGACCATTAAACTGTTCTCATTTTTGAAATGAGGCGTTAAATCCTCATGCTCTCTTTATACTCCAGTTAGATGATAAATAAGACAATTTGGCAAATCAAGCACAAGTCTACATTTTTTTTCTTTTAGGTGATTACCCTCAGCTCTTCTCAAACAGCCTCTCCAGTCACCAGCACGGTTCCCAGCGCCTCATCTACCTTGCAGCCTTTAGTAAAACTAGAGTCTGGAAGTGGGTCTGCATTGACTGCATCTAGGCCTCTACAGAAATACATTGTTGTGTCATTACCGACATCTGCCTCTTCTTCATTGGAGACTAAAAGCTCAGTGCTTTCGACCTCAATTTCCTCATCTCTAGATCCAGGGATCAACCGGTCCGACTCTCCTGGAGCAAACACACAGTCACCACACACATTTTAATATTTTAAGACATTGGTGCAGCTGGACACACAAAATTATCTCAGAATTCTCAATGGACACCATCTGAACTGTCTTACAGAGCAGAATTATGACAAAAATTGTAAATACAATAATACCCAGTAGAAACTGTCATCTACATGGTCTCTTCGTATATTATTATTATTATAGATTTACTGTTTGTTTTTTACTCCAAATTTGTTTTGTATCAATGACACATTTTCGTGAATGACTGTTGTGCATCTTTTATTTGTATGTAAGTGTCATGTTCAAGCAGCGATTTACAGTGTGACTGACTGAATCTTATGCAAAAATAAAATATTTTTTCTATTTCTGGTGAAACAACTGAACAGTTATGCCTGTGTATTCCCTAGACATCATCTAGCACAGACAGGATATAAAAGTGGATTAGTAATTTTGTTCAGATGAGACTCATTTTACTGCAACTCTCAGGATTACTTACATGTAAAACAACTCTATGCCGGATGTCCCATTCATCATTAGTCAGGTGTGGAGGTATTTGTATATAAAAGTGGGGGAAAAGTCGAGATCTTGTGAAGTAGGGCTGATAACAGATTTCATTCAGTTTTTCCATTCAAACAGAACATTTATTCGACTCAGGTGAAATTTACACCAAATAAACACATTTTGTCTGTTTGTGAATAAATAAGTGGGTATGATTTTTAGCTAAATATAGTCAAGTAATGATGGTTTAAGTGATGGTTTAAGCTGTAAAGACCGTCTCCAAATAATTACTACAACTCCCAGAATTACTTGCGTGTAAAAAAAAATCTACGCCGGATGTCCATTTCTTGCCGTAGTTTGCAGTCTTCACTTTTCTTCTCGTTTCGGTCTGAATTACCTGAACGTTTAGAAGATATAACGCTATAAGAAAGCAAGTGGACAAATATGAATTATAAAATACGAGCTGCAAGAAAAGAAGACTGCAAAGACATTGCACGAATGATCATGGTAATTTTTAAACTTAACGTTGCATTTCTTCAGATGGTAAATTATTGCATGACAACAAATCTCTTCCAAGAAAATGTGTTTGTATTTTGCAGGAGCTGGCCGTTTTTGAAAAAATGCCAGACCAAGTAAAGATTTCTTACCAAGGTAACTTGACGATGTTGCGCCTGCTCCAAAAAAGACACTAATGACAGAAATACACTTGCTGTTTTTGCAACAAGTGAATAACTAATTTGACAGGTTCATTAATAATAGGCTACCTGTTGTGGTCATAGATTTCCACACCCACTGGGGTCATTGTTAAAACTAAAAATTAATGTTATTATTTATTTATAGTTATGATTTTTTTCAAGCTTTGGTATATGTAGTAATTGTTTATACAAATAAGTTTCATTTAAGTAATGAGGGCATCTGAAGTTCTGACCTCTGGTTTCGGTAGGGGTGAGCCATTCAGACCAAACCATGTAAAGTGTGTTTTACTGCTCACATTGTTGTAAAATTAACTCCTTATTGAAATGTGAACATTATCCATTGATTTGGGTGATGTTTTGTTTTTAAAGGGGGATTATTTATGGGATAAATTAACAGTGAAATTATAAATCTCATTCTTTACAATTTTATGGTCAGATGGCCAGATGTAGGCAGATTTTTAGATCTCAGTTTTGAATGTAGTCATACGTTACTACAATTTAACATTTTAGTCAATCAATCTTCTAATTATTATGTTTCAGAGCTGGAACGTGATGGTTTCTGTCAAAATCCTTTTTTTGAATGTCTCCTTGCTGAGGTGTCTGATGAGCAGATATCTAAATGTGGTATATAGGATTTCATTAAAAACTATTCCTATCTAAAAATTAAAGTAGAATATAAACCTGTGTATTTTGGAATTACAGGTCACACAGTAGTTGGATATGCGCTTTACTTTTACACTTACAGTACATGGAAGGGAAGAACAGTTTACATTGAAGACCTCTATGTGATGCCTGAATTCAGAGGTGAAAATGGAGGCAAGATCACAATAATAAACATACATATATATACAATGCGATAGCTTTAAAGTTATTTGATATTTATTGTTAAAGGTAATGGCATTGGCAAAAGCCTGATGAGCAAAGTGGCAAAGGTAAACTGTTTTTAACTAGATTGTTAATCATTCATTTTCAAGTGTGGTTAGCTGTAACAACAACCTTCTTAATGTATTTTTTCAGATTGCAGTAGAGAAGCAATGTGTGCGTCTCCAGCTGTCTGTTTTAGACTGGAATTCTCAAGCCCGAGATTTCTACGCCGCTAAAGGGGCGGAGGACCTCACTGATAGCCAAGGATGGCACTTTATACGATTTGATGGCTTAAGTCTTGATAACTTGGTGAAGGAAGCTCCTCAAGATTAAGCTGGTGATTTTTGGCCACATTTCTTAAGACATGAAAGCTTGTTTTTCTTTTATAATAAATACAAAATTGTAATATACATGGTAAAACCTTGTTCATTTATCACTCACAAACAAAGAAGACATAATAATCATAACAATAACCATCATGTGTAGCCTCTGTTGTACAATTGAACTAAATTTAGCTAAGTAATATGGGTGGCCTTATAATTGCCTCCGGGTGGTGCTATAGCTACTCAAAATATCCTTTACAAATTGCACTCAAAAGAAGTATCTATGTTTATTGTTACTTTATTAATTATGTATAAAAACAATAACACAATACACATGAAGTCTAAAAGGTTAAAATCTCAGTTTTTTGGCTGTAACTTAAATGTGGAATTCTCATGGTTTGGATTGTCATTAACTCCAGTAACTGTTTATGGTAGACACACAAAACAAAATTGCACAAAAGGAAATATAAAACAGCAAAATATAACATAACAGAAAAGTACATGGTTGAGAGAAGACCTGAATATACAGTGCTATAAATCAAAATTATAGTTTTTGTTTGATTGTTTTTGTCTGTGTTTTTAATGTTTTATTTAAATCAAAGCTCACCTCTGTATATTACATAAATTGAAAACAATAGCAAATGCAGTGTTTTTTGTTTTGTTTTTTGTTTTTACTTTTTAAACATAAGCATTTCTCCCATAGTTGCTGGGCACAGACTGAGATGGTGCCGTAACTGAAAAGACATGGCCTCTAGAGGATGGCTGGTACGGATAGGGCCTGTAATCAAAGATGACAAAATATCACTTTTTTTGTTTTGTTTTTGTATTATATATATTTTATTTGTAGATCACTTACACTTTTTCATCTGTTGTCTTTCCTTTGCATGCAAACAGGAGACATGCCCCTCCACAAATGGCCAGTGTTGCTGAAGACCAACCAATGTACAGGGCCTCTCCAATCTCATACCTAGGGATTTAGAAGGTAATTTAGCGACTTTATGAATATAATGTATTAGTATGATTTGACGTACTTTGTCCCTGGATAGAACTGGTCAAAAAACTGCTGTGTGATGTTGGCTGCATACCAGGACACAGCAATCATGGTGCAAATTCCTAAAAAAAAAACAAAAAAAACAAAGCAATAAAATTAGAATTAGCAACTCACTTTGGGATTCACCATATTTTCTTAAATAAGAAAATATGGTGAATCCATTGGTGACCCATGTTTCATTCTCCTGGCACTAAGTCAACTTTCTTCAATCATGTCAATAATACTTGTATTAATATGAAGTGTTACTGTTTATGTTTAACTTCATTAGTAACAATTTCTTCCATTCAAACTACTCATTATAGATAAATATATATCATGTAGTTTATAATCAAATAGACCAATGTAAACATGGGTTGGTGTAGGCTTTTGTGTCACAGCTCAGTTAGATAATCCTGTGAACAAGTGACTCATTCAGTGATAGCTTTTGTAAACACAGAGTTTCAGACCTAAGTGTTTTTACATCAACCGAGACTGCACTGAAATACTGTAGATGAAATGATTTTTTTAAGTAAGAGTGAGACTTTACTATGTGCCCAACCGATTCAATCCCTAATGTTAAGATATTGTTGTATTTACCTTGCAATAGAAAGAACACTCCTCCTATGGCAGCAATCCTTCCTTTTAGGACATAGTTTTCTCCTCCGATTTTTGAACACTGCATTCCAACCAGAGTCGCTACAAGACCAAATGTCCCGAAGACGATGGATGCAATCATGAGAGCCCGTGAGGCCTGGATGTACCCTGCACACAGACATAGCAGTAACACGTTAAGGTTAGGGTTAGTTTTAACTTACCTGTTTCAGTAAGTACTATTGTAAAAGTATAGAAAAACAGTATCTCTCAAGAATACATTCAGTATAACGTTGTGTACAAGATAGCTACTTGGACCTTTTCAAAAACATAACCCTTGCATTTTACAATCAAATAAAAATAAAATGACTGTTGATAAGAGAGAAGTTCTTTTATATTCTCAGTTATCATCTTAAAAGAGACCCTGGTCTCATTCTTATAAGTCAGTCTTATCAACTGTTATCTATTTATTATGACTATTATAGTCTATTATACTATTATGAATCATACTGCACTCAGCTTAAATATATCTAAAATAATCAACAAACAAACAGATATAAGGCAATGTCCACCGATATCTGACCAGAAGTGAACAAGCAACTTGGATGAGCGGCAAAATGCCTTCACCATAAAACTTTTGTCCAGTTGACAGAATTTTATTTATTTATTTTTTTAAACAAGTTATGCTATTTTGTTCCACCTTGTTGACAACAACAGCATTATTCCGCTGCAATCATCAGTGGCATGTTTATCACCAGTCTTTTGGCTTGGAGCCTGATTAGTAGCTATTAATAAATAAATAAACTCACTATATCACTGAAGCACATACCATTCAGTGCCAGTAATGATGGAAAGTCACGGCAGTTGTGGACTCCTGTCGAGTCTGTGGCACAGGACATCCAGAGGTTCTCGTAGATGGTGGATGTGGTGATAACATTACCCTCCACTGTGGACACCTTCCAGTTTCGATTAGACAGAGCAATCCCAACCATCAGCCAGCCCAGAAAACCAAGAAAGAATGCAAACACCTCCACTATGGCATTCATTTTTGCCTAATTTTACACTCCAAGTTAAAAAGAAAGTTTTACAGACTCAAACAGCCCTTCTGTGTGAATTCAGTCTCTGACCTATTTGTTTGGCAGTGCAGTGTCGGAGTGCTTCTCCCATCCCCAGAAACAGTCCTCTGAAACCTGAGATCAATGATTAATGCCAACTTATAATTTCCCCATTATTCTCCTCTCTATTCAGCCTCTTTCAAGACTAAACGAATGTTTGCTTAACTTGAGAGACAACAGAAAAATCCAACCTTTGCACTGGCGTCTATATACCCAAAGTCATTAGTCACATCCTGACACCTGCTTTGAACAGTCTGTCAAGATTATCAAACTCTTATTGATGAGATGCAGGTCTCGTGTGCTCCTCATTACACAGGGGGCTGATGGGAAACGTCTCAGCGTGAGGCTGCAGAGTGACTGACCTGCAGATGACCAGCTTCACAGATAAAACTATTTGCCTCTCACAGCCATGCCCTAACAGCAACTATCACTGTACCTTTACTCAATAAAGCTCAATGCAATATGCCATGAGAAAATCCTCAATCAAAAATACTCAAAGTAATGAGCATATGATGCGTCACAGTCCTTAACAGCATGTCTTTAACAGTATTTATTTGCTGCAAGTTGCAATAAAGCATTAATTTTAAACTGTATTTAGAAATTGTATTCTTTCCATTTCATTACTAAATTACCAGTGATACTTGTAATGTTGTATTTATTTTTCTCAAGGAGGCTTGTAAAAATGATTATCACTCTGGTGTTCCTGAATATTATGATCTGTGCAATTGCTTTACTAATTACAAATCTGTTTGGGAAGAATACTCTGAAAATGTATTTACAGAATTACAGTTACAGAATACAGAATACCTGCATTAAAATGTATTTTATAATGTATTCTCATACATGTTTCAGTCAGAGTATTCAGAATACTTTTACATTAAGTTTCATTGATTCATTTTGAATATATTTTCTGGTAGATGTATTTCCTGCCTTATGTTATGTCAACTGTGCCCATCCAGAGAATCTTATGTATATGACACAAATAGACAATATAACACTGTGCCTTTGACAACATGTTTTTCCTGCATTTTTGTTTTGTTTTTATTGATTTGTTTAAAACAAAATCATGATTTTCAAATGTCAAGAACTAATCTTCCATCAGTTTGTGTTGCCTTATCCTGATTTGTCTTTACTAGAGAGAATATGCACACTCAGCATATAAAGCATATAAAGCAAAGCTTTACCATTTTAAACAGCCCATTCTGCCAACATATTTCAAATAGACATTTTTCACATTTTGGCTTATACTGTATTCATTTGAGTCTTCTCTGACAAAAGTAAATCAATATAAATAAACATAAAAAAGACATACATGTTTCTTACCTGGCAGAGCAAAAAGTGAAGGAAAATCCCTGCAGTTGTACAGCCCGGTGGAGTCACTTGCACAAGACATCCACAGGTTCTCGTAGATTGCAGACGTTAAAATGACACTGCCATCTTGAGTGGACTCTCTCCAGTAGTGATCCTCTAATGAAACAAAAATTAAAATCCAGCTAACAAAGCCTAGAAAAAGTGCTACAACCTCAACAATATCCCTCATGTTAAAAGATAGTTGATAAATATTTTGCAAAAAAATGTAAAATAAATGGTAATTCCAGTGTTAGGAGCTCTATTGGCCACTAGTGGATCTGATATACATTTTGGGAGTGTGAGAACTGACTCAGGATTTTTTTTCTCATGCTCCCAGACTAATTTGAACATTGATTTGCCAGCTGTACCTTGATTATAAGACTGCTATTCCCGCCCAAAATTGATGACATTTCACTTAGTCTGTTAGTTGCCATGGAAATGTAAGTATGCATTCAGCACTTTTTTTTGCCTGTTTAATCGTTTCAGTTCATACATATGATAAGGCACCACTTACAGCCTTAATACATATGTTTTAAAGGGCTTTAAAAAAACAGTTAAAGAGATAATTTTAACAAATAATTTTTTTTTTGGCAGTGTATATGCTAATGTATATTTTGTAGTTCTAATGAACAATATTACCTTCCAAATTGGACAACGCAAAGTATAGTAAGTAGTATTTTTACTCTTTATGCCCAGAGTATTAATAACATCTCTCCTGCCTTGCACATTGTTTTATCTTGTCTTTTGAGGAATTGGTAGCTTGTGAGTTTAGTAAGGTTATTCTCGTCCTCTTAAGCAAATACTTTAATCAGAATAGACAATGGAATGATTTATTTAAGTGTGAAGTAAAAGTCTATTTTAATATCGGTTAAGTATTAACATGTGGGCACACAGAGTTACATCTATTGAAAATGCTGTGTATTAATCTTTTGAAATGCAGTATTGACATAGTACAGAGAAGTTTAAAAAGGAAAATGGAGAGAGGCCAGGCAGCAGGACACACCTCTATTCAGTAATTTGCTGTACATTACGGCTATATATAATTCAAATAGCATTATTGCGTTGGCATCTCTCATTTGTCAAAGTGCATTTAAAGGTAATGTTAGGCGTCTGACATTTATAACTGGTAATATTGCTTTCATCTGTGTTCATAGAAACAGTATCTTATCGAAATCCTTCAGCAGCCACTGATCAGGAACAAAGTACTGCCATATACTGTGCTAAAAGGATACAGACATTGCAGCATTGAATCATAAATCCCTATGTTAATATTTTATTTCTTGGCCCTTCCCTCTATGACCTCAAGTATTTGACTGAATCACTTGTGTCCGCATTGACCCCCATGTGTTTCAAGGAAGGTTCAATAATTTTTATTTTCACATTTGACTTCTGACTTTGAGGGAAATTTAAGGGGAAGTGAAGTAAAATAATGTCTTTGATATTTGTGACTGAAAGAAAAGTGTCATGTGACTAATCCTTTCCTGGACTGGCTGTGTATTATAATGGATTAATATGGGCTTTCTGTAAACCACTGTTTATATAATGTCACGTTTAGGGTTTGGAATTTAGCAGTCATTGCATGTGTCATGGTTTCGATGAAGTCACAGCTTTGAGGAGTTTAAGATTGCACACATGACTGTCAAAACAATCAACAAATCAACCAGCTTCCACAACTTCCAAGTAACTTCTGTGACTCTATTTAGACTTTTAATTTTGAAGATACTTTTACTCACAGTGCATTGGGCATTTATCTGACCAGAACAGTGCACTTAGTTATTATCTTCAATGTAATTTTCCCTCAAAAATAAAATCTAAAGTTGATTTGATTGTTTAATTGGAGATTTCTAAATTAAATTTTTTCCAATTAGAAAATAAACCCATAGTCATGAACTAGTAATGCAAAAAATATTTGTACTATTTATCTGCAGTTATACAGTTATATAGGGATATATTTTGATAATTTACTTGATGCACTACTTATTTTTTATTTCTATAATTCTAAATGAAAATTTAAAAAATAAAAAAACTTTAAAGACAGTTGCATATATTTATTAAACATTCACTTACAACTCTAATAATAATACATTATGAGCATTTACAAATTATTGTATCAAGCACTGCATTATACTGATACAATAGCTATATACAAAATAAATAGGATATACTGGTTCAAAAATATTTACAATGTCTCCGTTTTCACTGTGCAATCCTATTTACATTTATCAAATGTCTGTTTTTTTAAATTTTGTACTTCACATTATATTTCAGATCAATAAACTAAAGTTACAAGTTAGTGAATATAATATAAATAATTAGAGTAACACACTAAATCTTCATTGTTATAAAACTGTGTTAACTAATCATATCATACATTATTTTAAAATAAATAAATTTTTCAAAGGAACACAAGATTATTTTACTTTCAAAAGCTACCTTGTTATTGTCATACTCAGAACATTACACACCCGCCTCCTTTTGCTTCTACATAGTTTGGGTCAAGGTCGTTGGGCAGTTTTCCGTTCTCTCCCCAGATGTTTAGCTCTCCAAATATACCCGTCTCAATCATTTCTTCCTGCCAGGGGATGGGGATGTTCCCTGAAGCAAATTCAGTGAAGAAGTCATTGTCCTTGTTATCCATAACGATGCCTTTGATGGAGCTGAAGGCCCCCACATCATCGATATTTTTGGCATAGACCATTCTCGGGTCAGGAACAAATGGTGGAGGAAGCATGCCTGTTTAGAATGATGGATACATGTTGATACAGCTCATAATTCTCCATACACGTGTTGTTAATGATTCCTACCTGCTTCCAGACGACCCCAGTTTATGTCCTTAAAGAAGGGCTGACTCTTGAGCTCGGCACACTCATTATTTTTGAACCCAAGTCGCTTTGCAGCATCTTTCATCATTAAACCTTCACAAAGGTCTTTACAATCTTTGCTGAAAGCTGGAGTGTAATTAACAGGATCATTAATGATTCTGCGAGCCACTTCTTCATTTTCAACCTAGGAAGAAAAAGCTCATGTGTTTTGGTCTAATAACAAGGTCCTAGAGGTTTATTTTATTTAAAGTACTTTTTCTCCTCTTATTCTGAAGGGCCCTTTGGCAGCGATCATTTCATATAGAGTGACTCCCAGAGTGAAGTAGTCCACGCAGTAGTCATACTGCTTCTTCTGGAGCAGCTCTGGAGCCATAAAGCCTATACCATGACAAACAGAATCAAGGGGCACAGTTCATTGCTTTACACAATGATCAAACATTTAAGCTTTGTTACCAGGGGTTCCTGCATATCCACTAGTTGTGTCTTTTCCTGGAGGAAGTTCAACAGCCAGACCCAGATCAGACAGACGCACGTGCCCTAAAAATAAAGAGTTACGAGCATTTCAGTGTACTTACATTTACAAGCTTTGGATTCCATTTCTTTTATTTTTAGCTCCTTGTCTTGTTATTTATTTTCTTTCATGTATTTTCTGGTATGATTACTACTGTACATACTGGAGCTTACTTGACCCTGACCTGCATCGTCGAGTAAAACGTTCTCAGGCTTGAGGTCTCTGTAGACGATGCGGTGTTGGTGCAGGTGCTCCAGTCCACAGATGATCTGACAGGTGTAGTAACAGGCCCTCTTCTCATTGAAGCCAGGGTTTTTCTCATCAACATTGTACATGTGATATCTGTGAGGAGACATTACACTGGTTTAACAATAAAACAAGATAGACATATTTACATATAAAAACACAAAAATGAATGACTAGAGGCTTAATGCTAATTTGTAGTAAATTCAAACAAATATTATGTGTTTTTAAGATCCACTGATTTATATAATTGCACAATAAGAGCCCATACTGTATGTTGCCTGTGATTTTTATCTCTTGTAGGCTGATTAGTGAAGGTGAGTGTAAGCAAGCATGCTGCTGTCTGTAAATAGTGTCATTAATTTGCTTGTGTCAGTATAGTTACAGTATATATAAACATACTATAGATAATGTACCTGAGATCACCTCCATTCATGATGGTCATCACTAAGCAGAGCTCAGACTTGGTCTGGAAGGCATAAGCCAGAGTCACTATGAAGCGACTGTGAACTTTAGCAAGGATTCTCTTCTCCACCATCGCACCCTAAATTTAAAACAAAATGTGGACAAAATTAGTGCAACAGCCATACACTGGAAAAATGTACCCATTGAATCTTTCTTGTTGGTATTCAGAAATGTATTTGTCGATATTAGAAAGTTAGTTTTTTTATTCAGGTATTAATGTGCTGTTAGTTTGAAGATACAAGATAGAGGTATAGCGTTCGCCGCCATATCAGAGGTTTATGTCTTGTGTCTGCGTACAGGGTTGAGAAGCTTTGTGGGGTCTTAAAGACGGCCACAAGCCTCTTTGAATTGAGCTGTTGAGCTCATATAATACTGGCTCACCATCTTTGCTGTTTCCCACACACTGTGCATTGTTATGACTCTATATGTGGGTTACAAGAAACATTAGTTACTATTATGTCTAGAATATGTTTTTTCTTATAAGCAATGTCTTACATCATAGCCCTTGCGCTTCTTCAGGCGCTTTTTGTCCAGCTTTTTGTTTGCATACATCTTGCCTGTTGCTTTTGCTTGACAGGCAAACACCTCTCCAAATCCTCCTTTTCCCAGCACTCTGAAGTCCATGAACCACTCCTCATTGACAGGCTGGCCTTCTAGCCACTTGAACTGAACATAACGCAGGAAGTACATGCTGTTCTTGAATCCTGCCACAGCATTCTTCTCCAGATGTTTGAGCAGCTGCTGCTGGCTCTCTTTAAACAGGTCTCCATGCAGGTTCTTGTGATCTTCTTTCACTCGAGTCACAGCCTTCTCCTCCAGGAAACTGCAAAAGGTCTTGGACTTGGACTCATAATATTTATTAACAATTTTCTGGGCCTTCTGCAGTCTGTCCTTTTCCTGACAAACCACATAGTCTTCAATGTCTTTCCACAGCTGCCCAGCATTCTTGTGTGTGGCGTCGGTGTCCAGATATTGCTGAAACAGGCGTTTGCCTATTGGCTGTTTGACACACATGCTGTCAAAAGTGCTGTCTACTTTGGTTTTCATGTGCTCACAATCTCTGATGTGGGGGAGTTTGAGCCTGGCACGCATCTTTTTGTCTCTCATGGTGGCTGCAGCTGCCCCATCCACGCTGCCACGGGCTGAGACATAAGCCGAATTGGCCACCACCGTCTCCAAGCCTCCGATATCCATGGTTCCAACTGGAAAAATGCAAGTCAGTGTTAAGTCTTTCAGGCAAGGCATGGTACAAGTGTGTTGCTCAAAGCAGCACAAAGACACAATCTTGTCTTACAGTGTGCTGCACTCTGCTGTTCAGTTTGGAGTATAACTACAAAAATTGTGACTTGGCCATGCACTCACCAAAAATGAATTCTCTATAAATCCTTCTATAGTTCCTATCTTACTTCATTGTCAGTTGAATTATCCTTAAATTTACATTGTAAGTAAGATGGGGGATGATGCAGTATCACACAGAAAAATACATACATTTGTACAGAGAATATAGGCCAAGAAACATGAAGTATAGATCACTAATCCCAGCCTTAAGACATCTGGGTGTAAATTTCATGTGAATAAGCTGCTCTGTCTTGACCTGGTACACCTAGTGCAAATACTGTCTGCCAAATTGGTTCTTTTCCTAACTTAACATAATCCAATTAACAGTGACTCTTGATTCCGGAGACTTACTTATTGATGATCGACCTGCTTGGATAAATCTACTCTTCTTTAAATACGTTTGTGTGTATCAACTAATAAGCTCATTACAAAAATAAAATACTGCACGTACATATTAAGTGTATCTGAAGAACAAGTGTAATAGAAGTGAGCTCATTATTCTCACATTATGGATATTTTGGGTAATTGCTCACAATGTTCACAAAATCTAGCATATAAATCTACAATGTATAAAACTAGTGTATACATCTGACTATTTTATCTATTTGACAGGGACACAATACACATTGCACAGACCAGAGATTGCTACAAGCTAATTTGCAATTGTACTCCTAGAGTAGAAGCAAAGTAACAGCAGTTTAACAATAACATAGCATCAACATTAACATTTAAATACATTTTAACACTTACATTATATTCAGTACTCACCTTTTTTTCTTGCTCAAGACAATTATCAAAAATGTTTACTCCAGACTGAATTCATGCAAATTAAATAATCCTTATCCCGTTTGTTGCAGTTTTTCCATCAAACTGACATAAAGGTCTGCAGGGATCCTGAAGACCTCCTCCTGCCTTGTCTTCTCGCCCTGTGGCACCTATAGCATGATGAGTTGAAAAGATTGGGGCTTCCGGTCGAGGTTTACTCTGCACTTGAAATCCCAGTTGATAGTTCATTAGCTGGGAGGGGATTACATCTTGACATAAGTGAAGGGAGGGACTGGGATACAAGGTGTTAATGCAATTCAGCAGTAGCCATGTTTACAGATGAAGTTTTTAGCAGGGCTGCATTAAGACACTTTATTTTAAAAGTGCATTCCAACCAATATCATAAAAATACAACAAAATAATAATAAGAATAAATCCAACCATACAATTTGTCGGAATCTCAAAAAAGTATCTCTGGAGCAACTTGCATATCAAATTGGATTAGCTGCTTTAGGTGTCTAAGAACACAGTGCAGTGTCACCCATGTTTCCATATAGCATCATTTAAATAAGAGGTCACTATCTCATATTATAGCACACAATGATATCCACTTTTAATTACTGACAACAAAACAGACTTCAAGCATCAGGGAAAGCCAGATAAATAAAATGGCTTTCATCTGAGAGGATTTAACCACTGGTTCAGGAAACTGAGAAGAGGGATTTAGATCATGCAGCTAAAGAGGAAAGAAACTATGTCAGACTGAACACCTTGATGTGTGCTAAACTCAGTGTTTTGTCAACACTGATTATGTTTGAACATTGATATAAAAGTATCCTATGTATTTATGCTCTGTAATTGTACATACAGATATATAATTTTGACATAAATAAAATGTATATCAAAGATATCAATAATAACAATTTGATATTACTACTCCTAAAACAATAAAACCAATAAAAGCAAATAAAACTAAGAAATACATGTACAAATAAATAAATAAATAAATAAACACACATAGAAGACTGTACTAGAGATTACTTCACAACTGGACTTTTTTTTTTTTTTTTATTGTGCCAAATCCATAGTAGCTACTTTATGTTCACTATCCAAATGTATGAATTGTATGGTTTTGAGAGTGTTTTATGTTCTTCTCTGATCATGAAATGAATATTTTTATACAAAATACACTTCAAACTTTAATATTACAATTTCTTTTTGTTATTCTAATTTACTGTGATGTTTGAGCAACTGTGTACAAGTCATTTCCCTTGTGGTTCAATAAAGTTTGTCTAAGTCTTCCGGCTGTCCAAAATGTCAAACTATATCGCTGTACGTCACACACTGTCCTATTTTCACGAAAGTTAAGTCCATTTCATTTCCTGTATGAGGCTATGGCTAGTTTGAAAAAAAAAACTAAACACAAATCCTATTTGAAGAGGTTAGACAGATTTTACCCTGGTCTTATAATCCTCCTCAGTAATGAAGGAGAAACCTACTACCACAAAGGGACAGCAGTAAGTCTCACAGTGCACAGGTGATCCGCCCACTGTCCACTACATACTGCTCAGAGGACGAAAGCAGAGGAGAAGTGAGGTGCAGAGGAAGTGCAGAGGCAGAGGAGAGGGGCAGAGGAACTTATAGGATGGGCAGAGGGAGAGAGGACAGGTACAAAGAGAGTAGGCCAGTATTTGTAGAGAGGCTCTTTTTAGTTCAACCACACACAGTATATTAGGGCCTAAAGACAATCACAGCCTAAGAAAGCATATTCTAAGGAAAGTGAAACAAGCAAAGCACCGGAAATAGACGACACTGACCGACTGATAGCACTGAACTGTTATTGTGCTATTTTACACAAATTGAGGCGTTTATTAACTCTTAGTATATTTATTGTTTGCAGAATACATTTCTCCAGGTAGGGGCCTTTTTTTATTACCAAAAGGTTGAGAAGGACTGGTCTTAAAAAGAATAGTTCGTGCCATTGCCAAAAATGGGCGTACAGTCTATGGTATATACGTAACTGTCACAAATGATACATTCACGGGACTAAAGGAACTGAATGTAACCTGTCAAACGCTTAATAGATTTAACACTTTTACCACAACCAAAAATACCCAAAACTTGTATTTAAAAGGCACTCTACAGGTGGCCTTTATTACACGGGAGTCCGTACTACTCCGTTTGGACCACAGACAGTCCAGTTTCAGTATACAATCTATGGTTATCACCATGACTCTTACGCTCCGAGGATACATCAGGTCCGTGAACGCCTCTCATGTCGGCGCCCTGGACAGGCCCACGGTACTGACAGGAGGAGGCCAGCAACGCGTGGTGTGGGTTTGAGGGAGGAGGATATGGAGCGGAGCAGGGTTCTGTAATGTCAAGGGCCCATGGGCTTCAGGCCTGAGCACAGCCCACCTATCCTCCCTCCGAGTCCGACATGGATTTCCTTCTCAGCGGAGCGGCAGCCTGCGGAGCATGCCTCTTCACCAACCCGCTGGAAGTAGTCAAAACGCGCATGCAGCTCCAAGGAGAGCTACGGAGCCGCGGGACGTATCAAGTGTATTATAAAAACGTTTTCCATGCTTTTTACACTATCGGTAAAGTGGACGGCCTGTCCGGTTTACAGAAAGGACTTGCGCCGGGCCTTGTGTACCAGTTTTTTATGAATGGAGTTAGACTGGGATCGTACGCGATCATTGAGTCATCTGGTTACATCCACAACAGCGATGGGAAGGTCAGCACAGCCAGGACCACGTTGGCAGGAGCGGTGTCAGGGGTGGTAGGCGCCGTCATGGGCAGCCCCGTTTATTTAGTGAGTATCATCATTAAAAGATTGCTACGGTGAATTGGAGTTGAGGCAACGCAACGCTTTTTTCACAGGTCAAGACTCATTTACAAAGTCAGTCTACCTCGTCCATTGCAGTGGGACACCAGTACAAACACCAGGTAGCCCATCTTACGGTATACGTTTGATTACTGACGTTATGGCTAACGCCCCCTGACGGTATCTTGCAGGGCATGCTACACGCGCTCAGAGCCATCTATAAGGAGCACGGGGTCCTAGGGCTATGGAGGGGCTCCAGTGCAGCTGTACCCAGAGTCAGTGTGGGGTCTGCAGCTCAACTCTCCACTTTCTCCTCCTCAAAAGAACTGGTGCTTGAACTGCAGGTTGGAAGATGCCTGAAGATGTCATATGCTTCATCTATAGTGCCATTGGCATCTCAAGAGTAGTTAGAGCATGAATGCTTTGAGCTTTTACACACTGGACATATGTGGTTAAAGACAGGCTTACTTTTCTGGGTTATTCTGGTTGTTCAACAATATCAGGTGAGCTTGTATGACCTGACGGCAGCCCCTACACCTTTTCTTGAGAAGTAAAACTTTAAAAAATTAAATCCTAGTATCAGAGTAACAACGTTCCCAGTACCTGCTATCTCAGTCTTGTGCACCCATTACAAAATCATCCATTGTCATCTGTCTGGAGGTAGACTTACAGGAGTCTAACATGTCCTCCTGTGCATGTGGCAATACTTATTTTGTCTGTCAATATGAATGAATACTTGAGAGAGACAGCTTGGTGCCCTACTTTGTAGTCAGACTCAGGAGCTGTGCTTTTGTTACATTTACAAAGCGCTGGGGCTTCTACTCCTTTGGAACTGAAACCCGAATCCACTGCAGTGCCACTGCAAAAAACACAAGAGTTACATAACATATGTGCATGTTAAAGGTTACATTCTTCTGACATCTCTAAGACGCCTTCATATACACTTACCACTGTAGTGTTGGTTAGTTTAGATAATTAACAAATGTTTTTGTGTTAACATTCTGCAAACTTCACTCCAATCCTTTAAAACGTGCTTTATGTTTATCCTTTAATCATAAAAGATTGTGACTTGACTCGTACTTGACTTAAACCTGCACTGGATCTTGGCTAAACCAGGACTAAAACAGGACCAACCCAAATCTAGATGAGGACTCAAACTGGAACCAAACAACCAGAAGTGTGAAAGCACCCTTAATAATATAATACTAAGCTAACATCCCCAAGTCTAACACATTCTGAAAGCTAGTTGCTATTATGTTTTTTGACCAGTAGTTACAATTAAACCTGTACATTTCCAATGCTTACTTTAACTAAAAAGAAAATACTTTGCTTATTTAGGTATTTCCCAAAAACAGCTGGTTGGTTGCCCTGAGTGCCGGAATGATTAGCAGTGTGGTGGTGGTTTTGGCCATGACACCCTTTGACGTTGTGAGCACACGACTTTATAACCAACCAGTGGACCATCTGGGCAAGGTAAGGCCTGTTATGTACAGTGTACAACTATTATTTCAAATTTTACTTTTTTAAGCAATTTCTTAACACATTTAGGCTGTGGTAGTTTATACGTGATGAACAACAAAATCTTTGATCAAAATCTGATCGTTATCTGATTTCTGGAGTTATCAGATTATTGAAATGTCATGTAAAAGCACTTGTAAGAGATGCAAGCCTGGCCACTGCAAGGGCCATGTTTTTCATTGTAATAAAAACAACCAAATTTATATATAAAAAAAAAAAAAAAAAAGCTTATATTTTAGTCTTTTTTTTGCTATAAAGTTACATTCTGGGTCTTTAACTGATAAATGTCAGATTTATAGGGTTATCTGATTACACCAGTTAACGGATTTCTACTGTCACACTGTTAATTGTTGATTCATCAAGATCAGACAAAAAACATTGCAGGAGGCTAGAAAATATTAAAAAATTCAAACTTTTACTTGTGTTTGTCACACAGGGGCAGCTTTATAAAGGATTTGCTGATTGCTTTTCTAAGACGTTAAAGAAGGAGAGCTTGATGGGACTGTACAAGGGCCTGGGTGCTTCATACTTCCGACTGGGTCCACACACCATTCTGTCTCTGTTCTTCTGGGATGAACTGCGCAAGTGTTACTGGGGCTTTAGATAGCTCAGTGACAGAGAAACTCAAAAAAAGATAACTCATTAAGCCGACAGTGCAAAGGTTTCATTTAATGGGATCTTTAGGAGGCAAAATGAAATACAGAAAGTCAATCATTTTACAAAGTGAAGCATGTAGATTTGTGAAAGTTAGTTATAAATCTAATGAAAAGGCAGTTAAGTCTGCCTTATAATTGTATGTCTATGCTGAATATGCACAGATTATTTAATATTTCTGTTAGAATATTGACAAATGTGCCATTCCATATAATGTGAGAACACAGTGGACTCTTGCCGTATGCTCTTGAAGACATTATGAACCAAACAAAAGTCATGTGAAAGCTTTGCTATAGTAAGTGGGGTACACAATTATGAAAAGCCTTTAACAAATTTTGATATCGTGCACAGTTAATTTACATTTTTACTCTTTTTTTTTTTTGCCCTTAAAGACATTGTTTAGAATCAGAAGAATTTAGAATGAATTTTATACCTTTAACTTGAAGAGTAGTTACTGAATGTTCATTTGACAGCACTCCACACTTGTATGCATAATATTTTACAAATATTAGTATTTGACTTAAACAGGAAATTTGACTGTTTTTCTTTGAAAGTTACTGATATTTTATGACAATGTGTGCAGTAGAACTGTATGTTTTATTAGTGGGATTGGTTATGTAATTTCCTTTTTAATTTAACCAAAATATATTTTGTGCCATGTTTTACTGTCACCAACCTTGTATGGCTCAGGCCTTTTCTCCAAATCATTATGCCTTATTGTATTATCTGATGACAGGAATTTGCTGTTAAACATCTTTGTAACGTCGGTTGACCGTGAGCGGCTTGGGGTTCAGTGAGCAAGGTAAAAACAAATCCAGACACAGACCGGTACTTGTGGTCCACAGTTTACTTTTGTTTTTTCAATGATTACAAAAGTGCAAGTGCAAAAAGTGCAGGGTGCAAAACGGAGGCAGGCAGCAGTTTCCTCTCCAGCAGCAGAACACAGACTGATCTTGAAGGCGCCTTTTATGCCGGTCCTACTGATTGGATAAAACCACTATGCTAAAACAGGGATGGTTAAAATTATCATTAGCGTAAAACTAAAACCTAAACCTCCATAAAACAACCCAAAACCCAGATAACTATTAAAACTACCAACTATATACATAAAACCCTAAAACCATTACACCAATTAAATGTTAAAACCCATAAACCAATAAAATACCTAACCTAAAACCCCTGTACAAAATGTTACACGTGGTCCAGCCCGGAACCATAAAAGAGGGAGCTCGTTTCCGGGGGACTCTTTTCCCACCTGGATAGAAGATAAAAAGGGGAGGTAAGTAAAAGCAGATTCACCATTCATTAAAACACAATAAAATACACTAAACACATCAACACTTAAAACATTCTAAAACAGATATTGCACCATATTTATTGCACAAAGTTAATTTAAAATGTAATTTGTTATTGTCTCCCTTTTCCTCCAGGGACAAGCAACTTCCAATTAAAGTGCTGTGCCTCAGGAATAAAAAATGGTTAAAGGAAAGCCAATAAATATTTTTTTAAAACCAATTGTGTGCAATTTATTTTGTGATGTGCAAATATGTTAAAAGTGCTGTGTGCAAGGAAAGTGCAGTGTTTTAAAGTGCTCTAGTGAAGGGTGAAGGTGCTAAGTGTGGTTCTGGGGTAACAAACCAGCCTGTTTGTTACAATCTTACTACACTTTTTTACTACATTTTGCAATTGTCATTTTGTTATTTTTGCATTATAGGTAATTGTGCTCAATGGTACTTTGTATTGGCAAAAAATATGATTTCAGCAGAATAAAATAATAGCATTTCTAATAGCTTTACTCTCTGTCATTTTTCTAATGATGGGTTCATTTGTTGAAACAAGATAGTGTTTGATTTTTTTCTGCAGTTGTTATGTAGGCAATAATACAACACACCATAGATACTGCTTTCACTTCAAGGTTTCTAAGGACAGAAGGAGAATGTGGTTACTTGACCTTACAGCCACTGGGGCATATGGTTTGGGTACACACATTGTTACTCATAATAAAGTGATATAATATCAAACAAGCTTTTCCAGATACATGCTTTCTGTTATTCATGCCTGTACTACGGAAAACAATGGGAAAAATGGGATTGCCAGTGGACAACACAAACATATGCATAGTTTTATCAGCATAATTACATTTAACAATTGACTTTATAAAATCTCACAGGATTTTTTTTTTGCTTTCCAAAAATGATTGTTATTCATTGTGATATTCCATAGATCTTTTTAATAAGAATAAGTAATTTTTAGTAGTTTGTTTTTAGTTTTGTTTGTGCCTGTTGCTGGGAAGAAAAAAACAGCATGCATAATCCTTAGAAAGTTTTTAAATCTTTTATTTAAACATGAGGACAAATCCTAGTACATCCAACACAAACCAGAAGTAGGACATAATATAACAAATTAGCACATTATATTGTCACCATTTGATATTATACAAAATATAAAATATAACCCCCTATACAAAAATGTAAAACAGTCACAGCTGTATTGTCGGTTGTAACATTTGACAAAAATAGGAATGAAATATTTTTAGGTAAACATGACTGACAGTAACACAGCAAAATCACAGTAAAAGTCTTGTAAAGTTTACATGTTCTTATCCTTTTTGGTCCCACTTTGCCTCATGTAGTAAAACATCTGGACCACTAGGACAAAGCTGAGGCAAGCTGACACTGTGTGGAACAGGCTCTCAACAATAATGTAAGAATCCTAAAAAGAAAGAGTAAACATTTTCAGAAAATTGTTATATGAAAAAATTTATGTTTTTTCTCTTTATACCTACCCAATAATTTAAAGTTTTTCCTAGTGCGCCACCTAGAGATAATATCAGAGATGGCCTGGACAGCTCACCCGTGTGTCCATTATAATAATTAGCCCTGGCCTGGAGGAGCTATAAGTTCACAAAGATGAAAAAACTCCAGTAAGATTTTAGATTTTAGATTTCAAATAAACAGAATGTAAAAATCCAGTACCTTACTTAAAATTATAGCTGGCAAAATTGTATCTTGCATTTTTGAAATGAGTGAGGAAGCAGTGTATGTTACCAGCAAGAAGATCAGGGCACAGTGTGACAAAAGTAATCGCACTCCTTCAACAGAAAAACAGGAAGATTTGGTGAATGCATTTTCTGGCCAGAATTATGTAATATTTTAAATCTTTGATGTAGATCCTATCCTAAGCAACATTACAGCCTTTAAGATCGTTATTTACTTTTTACACCCCCAACATTCCTGATGGGAAGCACTAGTCTATACCACTAGATGGTGTTGTGAACACATGCATAAATCACATTTTATTTTATCGAATTGCACCTTCCCTATATATATATATATATATATATATATATATATATATATATATATATATATATATATATATATATATATATATATATATATATATATATATATATATGCCCAAAATAGAAAATGGATGTTGTAGAAGATATTATATGTATACTCTTGACTTTCTAATAGAACAATTGGCTAAAAAACCAAAACACACAATGTAGGCCTAAACACAAACTTTTCATTTGTTTCAAATCTTATCAGTATAATCAATATCTAACTTGTAATTTTATAACAAAATAAGTCATTTGGTATTTCTGTAATTGGTTATATTGATTTTATGATATCATGCACCTTTTATGGGCTGTGAACCATGTTATAAAGGTGTTCCCTCCCCTTGGGCGGCAGTAGCTCAGTTGGTAGAGCATTCGCCCACTCATCTGAAGGTTGGCAGTTTGATTCCAGCTCTTGATATAAAACATCACAGGTTGAGCGGTCAGATCCACTGACCCACAGGTTGGCTGGTGTGATTCCAGCTCCCACAGATGAATGCTGTTGTTGTGTCCTTGGGCAAGACACTTAACCCACCTTGCCCACAGTGTCTGCATACACTGGTGTGTGAATGTGTGAGTGGTTCTTTGTTGTAAAGCGCTTTTCCACCTTCAAGGTGGAAAAAGCGCCATAGAAAAATGTGACCATTTACCATTTGATTCATCCTGTATTGAAAATGACATACCCTAAAGTACTACTTAAAACTGTGTGGTTAGCGTTCATTTTAATAAGATGGAGCCTCTGAGTCAAATTAGAAAATGATTATGTAAAACTCTAAGGGCTGCAGTTACTTCCTCACTGCTGCTATAACAACAGTATGCCTACACCAGTATTACATTTCCGCAGAAGAAGTTAGGTACAGATTAACCAGAAAGTCAATTTAGATGCATTTACTCACCACGGAGAGTATCACCCTGATAACGCAGCATGAGGAGAAAAATGGACGCCGTCTCTATCAGAAGGAACAGTCTCTCAGCCCAGGCCCTGCATAGAAATTAAGAAATAACTACTGAGTCTGGATGAATTCATAAGACTAATCGTAGAGTTGGACAGTTGATTGAATTTTCATCTCAGTCAATGTTTTGGTCCAGTAAAGGATGTGATTTGGAACAGTTAGGACTGGATGGATCAATATGAGGGAAAAATGTGATTAATTTTTTTGTCATATCGCCCAGCCAGAATTAATTGTATTATTGAATTAAGTAAGTTACTTAAGTTAAAACATGCACTATGTAAGTTTTTGGTTGGGGGTTCCGTCACCTGCTTGTTTCTGAGGATATAGTATTACTCTGCCTGGAATGTTCCACAGTATGACATTAAACTACCTTACATTTATTCATTTACAGGTGGTTTTATAGCTAAAAAAAAAATCAAGCAAAACAGGCATTCTGACTGAGAGTGGGGTTACGTCTCAACAGATCTAACCTGTGACTTGGTTTGGTTTCGTCTCCATGAAGAAATGTTTAATGCCATACTGTGAAACATTGATTTAACAGACCCTCCACCAGAAAAGTTACACAATGCACCTTTAAACATAATTGTCAGCATTATCATAAGGTCAGCATTTTAAGTTTCCTTGTTTATATATGCTGCATATACCCATGAGCTTACTCCAGGGGGAAGTTGTGTCTCACTGCAAACACAACAGGACAGGAGAAGGCATAAAGCTGCAGCAGGACAGATGTCAGGCTCAGACCATCTGCACGGCCCCTCCACAGAACGGTCAACAACTGTAGCAGCTGCGCTGTAGGTACACACAAGGTAAAAGAATACATTTTTCTATACACATTACCCTATAGGTGTCAGTCCACCTCAGTTCACTCAATGAGTTAAACCCTACTTTGTCAAATTTTGATGAAATTTTATACATATATATATATATATATATATATATATATCCTTTGGCCAGCTTACAGTGTAAGCTGGCCAAAGGAGGAGATACATGTTAAGACACAAAAGCTCCTGACCATGCATGGAGGGTTCCATCCCAAATCCAGCACCCTGAGACTGTACGCAGGCCGGAAGGAAGGGGGCCGAGGACTAGTGAGTGTGGGAACCACTGTCCAGGATGAAACATCCAAGCTCCTTGAGTACATCAAGGACAAGGCCCCGGCAGATGAGGTGCTCAGAGAATGTCTCAGACAGTGGGGTCCAGAGGAAGAGGTGCTGGAGGGATCATCATGGCAGGACAAACCCCTACATGGGGCGTACCACCGGAACATAACTGAAGTGGCTGATATCAAGAAATCCTACCAATGGCTTGAGAGGGCTGGTCTGAAGGACAGCACAGAGGCACTGATCCTGGCTGCTCAGGAGCAGGCCCTGGGCACTCGAGCAATAGAGGCCCAGATCTACCACACCAGACAAGACCCACGGTGTAGACTGTGCAAAGAGGCTCCTGAGACAGTCCAGCACATAACTGCAGGGTATAAGATGCTGGCAGGGAAAGCATACATGGAGCGACATAACCAAGTGGCGGGCATAGTGTACAGAAACATCTGTGCAGAGTACGGGCTGGAAACCCCAGGATCAAGGTGGGAAACACCTCCAAAGGTTGTGGAGAATGACCGAGCCAAGATCCTGTGGGACTTCCAGATACAGACTGACAGAATGGTGATGGCGAACCAACCAGACATAGTGGTGGTGGACAAGAAACAGAGCAGAGCCGTGGTGGTGGACATCGCAATACCAAGCGATGGTAATATCAGGAAAAAGGAACACGAGAAGCTAGAGAAATACCAGGGGCTCAAGGAAGAGCTGGAGAGAGCCTGGAAAGTAAAGGCATCAGTGGTGCCTGTGGTGATCGGAGCACTCGGGGCTGTAACCCCCAAACTGGAAGAGTGGCTTCAACAGATACCGGGAAAAACAATGGACATCTCAGTCCAGAAAAGTGCAGTACTGGGAACAGCAAAGATACTGTGCAGAACTCTCAAGCTCCCAGGCCTCTGGTAGAGGACCCGAGCTGAATGAGGGTGAGAGAGACCTACCACCGTGGAAGGTGAGAAACACTTTTTTTTAAAAAATATATAATATATATATATATATATATATATATATATATATATATATATATATATATATATATATATATATATATATATATATATACATCTACTACAACATATTAAAAATCTGGAGGGGTTTTCTTTTTTCACACAAATTTACCTAGAAGTTGATTTATCCCATCTTAAGACATAAGCTATACCTCATGTAACTGTGTATGGTGCCCCTGACCGTGAACTAGCCTACAGACATTTAAAGGTGACAGTACTGACAAGGTTTCAGTCCAGGACTAGATTGACATGACTAAGATTTACCTCAGGAAAAAAAAGTCTCTTGTGTTATTTAGATGATATCTTGGTCTTTGCACCAGACGAAAACACAGCACTCCAGCGCCATGAAATGGCATTTAGCAGACTGCGTGGCCACAATTTAAAGCTGTCACCCAAAAAGTGCTTTTTCTTGTGGAGGTCTGTAAAGTTTTTGGGTCATATCATTGATGAAAATGGCATCTCGACTGACCCTAGTAAGGTTGAGAGTATCTCCAACATGTCCTGTGCTGATTTGATGGACCTAGATGGTGTGACTCCTTCCCCTAAGCTCAGGTCAGGTCACTCTTAGGGATAGTGAACTACTATCAGCCTTTTGTGCCAGGGTACTCTGACAAAAGCCAAGCCTCTGTTCGATCTCTCAGTTCCACATTTCTGTGACAGTTCCACATTTCTATGACAATGGCACCTAAAAGGTTAATAAAAGTGTATTGTACATACATTGCTCTGAAGTATTACATGTGGTATCTGGTAAAATATGCATACATAAGTGGAACAGAAAGTATGACGATGTTCTTCCTCTGTTCTAAAGAAACTAAGAACTTTAAATGGATTTTTGTGGGCAAGCTGCTAACAGGATATGACCACCATAGCCTTGTGTACACAATAGTCTATGTTTTGGATTATATCTATGAAACCAGGACACTGCTATGACAACACAGAAACAGAAAGGAGGAACTAAAACAGATGGTCACAAATAAACAAGAAGCTAGATAAGAGGTCATAGTGTAATTAGGCAACATACAGTTGTAACTGCAGTTCAAACATGTGGGTTCTCTGTGTACTATGTACATTTTACACATACTTTACCAGGGATTGAGGGGTAGGTCTTAATTCTATCCCTATTTCCTGAAATATGGAAAAGAAAACCCCTCCAGATTTTATTATGTTGTATATAGGGATAAATTGTTTCTACAGGTGTCTTTGAGGTCGGGCGTGTTCCTTATTATTAATTTCAAAGTCAAAATATAGGTCAAAGGTCATTCATCTCAAAGTACTCGAATGCAACAATACTTTTTGATATTGCACCAGTAGTTGCTGAGTAAATGCAATTTGAAATTCTGCAGCCACGCCCATTTTCGCCAAAAAGTTGAAAAAATGAAATTGCGACATCTCAGCAAACATTACTCCGATCAAGCTAAAATTTGAGATTTTGGCTTTCTTGGCTATGACTTACCTATACACCAATTTTCTTTGCAGGTGGACAATGTGAGGGTTCAAATTGCAATTTCTTTGGGTGAACTGAGGTGGAATGACCCATAGGCCTATGTATAAATGTTACAAGATAACATCAGGGCCTGTATGTTAACATCAAGCTCCAAGAGGACAAGTCATGACAAGTCAAGTATTAAAGTGTTCTGGTAATTTCAGAACAAGATTAAAAACTAATTATGATGACAGTGGGCTCGCTGATGCATGTTTTCACAGTGCAATGAGTAAACAGTGAAAGGTAGGTCTGTCATGATAATAATAGTTTGAAGCACGACATATTGCTACAAACAAAAATTGCAATAAACTATAATATTGAAACTATTTTATGTCACTGACATAATAACACGAAAGCAGGATAATTCCAGTAAACCATTTTTGTTGAATATCTGATGCTCAAATCTTTTTATATTATATCAAAATAACAAAAAAAATCCCCATTATTGCAAAGAAACTGTACAAACATTAAATATTGATCCCAACATGTATTGTACTGTACGATAAGTTGATATATTAATTATCTTGACAGGCCTAGAATTAGCATACTGTTACCACACTCACTCTGCTAAGCCAAATGTAAAATCAGTTTACACCATCTTTTCTTAGGAATGAAAAGAGTTTTCTCTTGTGTTATAGTCTGTGCAGTTTATTTTAAAGGTGCATTGTGTAACTTTTCTGGTGGGGGGATTTGTCACCTGCTTGTCTCTGTGGAGGTGTTCTTGCTTATAGTGTTCCACAGCATAGCATTAGACTTGTCTACTGCCATGGAGACTCCATGTGACTCCACCAGATGCAAAGTTACAGGTAAGATCTAAGAAATAAGCTCACAGCTAGAATACATTTTCAATGTATTAAAACAACGAAATGCAAGATACAGTAGATACACTTTTCCTAACCTCTAAACTTTTAGGCAAAGCATGACATCTCCATGAAGGCAAGCCTTGTACCCCCACCACAAAGATTACACAATGCATATTTAATAAAGAAAACTAAACAACAACAATCATACCTTTGTTATACCAGGCAATGCTTCTGAACAAAAGTAAACAACTTTCACCACTCTCTCTCTTACCCAGCAGCACATCAAAGAGAATCCAAAATCCTGCGACTTTGCTCAGTACCATCTTCAAACATGACACTGCAACAAAAACACATGCTCTTTACATAATTATCACTTATTCATTAATTACCCAACTACTAGCCCTTAATCCTCAACAGTCACGTGACCGCACATCTCCCTCCAGGCTACCACACCTATCACATCTGGATTTGCGTAAGACTCACCGTGGACACGAAAGTTGACGTAAAAGTCCTCGTAACATTTTTCTGACATGAAAAAGGTAACCAAAACGTCTTTCACACTTGGCATGGTCATTTTGAGCTAGCTGCTTGGTTTTGAGAAACTTTGTTGCAAAAGTTCAAAGTTCTCCCCAACGTTGACACACAGCAGCAGACGTATGTGCGGGTGGGGCGCTATCCCAAACTCGAGGGTCGAGCGCGAGGGCCGGTTTTGATTGGCTTTTGCACCGAAATCGTCAGCCAGTCAAAATCACACCTTTTTGTCCCATTGGTATGAATTCAATTTTGAAATATTTTTATACTGTATCCATGTTAGGTGTTTTTACAAGGCTACGTGAGGACATGACACAGACACACCCACAAAAATATCTTTGTGATGATATCAAATTGTCTTGTATTTTAAATATGCACTTATGTAACTCTTCCTAGAAGTTACGTGTTTGTCTTCATGCATGTACAATAAAATATATATATTGCCTTTTTGTATTGCGTGTGTCACTAGCAATTGCTCAGCCCAATGCATTACTAATAGTAGATTTTGATTAGTTATACTTTTTTATGCATTTTTGTTTTTTTCAGTTGTGACAATGCAATGCAATTACCTTCTGGTGCTATAGTGACAGATAAATATTTAGCGTTTCCACTCTCACATAATTAATGCTTCATATTTACGGGATATCATCACATTACATAATTGCTAATAAAAATTCTCATTCACTCATTCACTTCATTTGCTGCAGACCAGAGTCCAGGGCACATGTGGTTAGATCGATATATAGCAGCCCCTCAAGTTAGTAAAACAATATTTTATACTGTATCTTTCAAGCCTAAATGCTTAACAACAAAATACTTAAAAATCATTATAAATACTACTCTGGGCAGCACACCTTTTTTCTCAGAACAGTCTGTCTTTGTGAAGAGGAATCACCTTGACATGAGTCACATTCTTCGCTGTGGCCGATCCCAAGCAGTATTTGCTTATGTTATCTTTGTCATTTCACCGCCCACACCCTGACAGGACTCATTGTATCTGCATCTGCGTGTGCAAACGCACTTCTCTCAGTTTGGTGTTGAACTTCTCTCAGAAAGCAGGAAGGATTTATAGTTCAGCAAAGACAAGTTTTTCCAAGTATACTGCAAAAGTTTTCATCTGGCAACATGTGCACTGGAAGATGTTCCCGTTTCATTGCGGTGGCTCTGTATCCACTGGCGCTTATTTCTATCATCTGCAACATTGTGCTGTTCTTTCCTGGAGGGGAAACCAAATATGCCAAAGATGGACATATAACTCAGGAGGTCAAATACATGGGGGGACTTGTAGGAGGTGGAGTGATGGTAAGAATTCAAGCATGCTGTATATGTATGTTAAAAAAACAAAAAAACAAAACAAAAAAAAAACTTGATAAAGTTTGTTGGTTTTAGAGTGTAAATAATATCAGTCATCTTGTCTCAGGTGTTGCTCCCAGCTCTGTACATCCACTTGACTGGTAAACAGGGCTGCTGTGGAAACCGTTGTGGGGTGAGCATTTCTAGCGGCATATAGTGGCAGAGATAGTGACGAAATGTAAACTGAGTAGTAGAAGTATTTAAAATGGTGTAAAAGTAAAATGGGTCTTTACAGTCGTATTGTAGTAGGCTATAATGAAGTACTGTATCTACGTCATTAGCAATAATAAGAAATATTTAAAGGTTACCTGTACATTTTTAAAGTAAAATAAATAAGATAAAACTGGTTGTTCTCCTTGCTGAATAATCTCTGTCATGTTGTTGCTCAGTTTGTGAAGAATGTCAGGCACTCTGTCCAGTCCCAGTATAACATGATAAACCAAACGCTTTTGAGGCCATTTAGGGACAGTGTTTACATGCACATCAAAAACACCAACAGATACTCTTAAAATCA